TCTCCCACTATATATATATATATATATATAGATTGATTGATGCCTGAATGCCGTGAGAGAACTGCTGTGGAAGTGGCGTAAAGACCTTCTCTTTCGCAAGAGCAAACAAAACAAGCGAAGGCAAAAATACAAAAAAAAAAGAGGGAAAAAGACTTTTTTTTTATCTTGATGTTTTTTGTTTAGCTTTTAAATCCCCAAACTGTTTTCTTCTTGTTACTTACCCTGCACTTTTTCCTTTGTACGCAGCGTCTCCGTCACCCGCACTTCCGGTATTATGTTGGGGCGCGATGTGCGTGTGTCTTGTACAGGTGGCGTGTGTGTGAACGTTCAGCCGGGAGTCTGGATTCCGTCCAGACACGTGCGGGAATGCAAGTAAATGAAGAAGCAAGCGTGGGTATGAAGGTGTGTTCACTCTATTATCGCGAGTGGTAGCAATAAAAGCCTGTTTGCTGTGAGCCTTCTTCTTCCTCTTCCGTTTTGTTATTCACCGATTTAAAAAACAAGGCAAGAAACCAATAAGACGCATAATAATAAAAAAGAGGTAAGTGGAATAAAATGCATACGACATTCCCCGCTCACGCGCATAAATGCACTGACGGGTGTGCAGAGTCCAATGAACAAGGCATGCCACATCCACGCACCCGCAGACACAAGCAAAAAGAAAAGAAAAAATGTGTGAAATTGCAGTCAGGCTCCTTCTCGCCAATCCACGAGACGCTTTGTTGCGTAAATGAACACTACGAGCCACACAACAGAGAGTACGGCAGAAGCAGCCACAACCCATGGTATCTCCAGCTGAGACCAGTTTAGCGGGACTTTGGTCTCGACCTCCGCCGTGCTGTTCCCCCACAACTCCCACATGTGGACCATCACAGCACTGTGCAGATAAGCTTTAACTTTGACCATGTGCTGGTATTGCCATGTCAGATCGTCTTTCGTTTCTTTCATTCCTTCTGTCCGTGTCTCGTCGCTTGCTGACAGAACGAATCTTGCGTAGCTGAATGCGTTTCCCATTGATGCTTTTTGTTGATGCTGCCATTTATTTTGCTTCGTCTTCGCGTGAACCAACTGGCCCAACTCTGCAACCTCGGCTGAGGAAAACTTCCGCAGCTGTATGACGTCATACATCTCCAGGAGACCCACCAGCTGCTCCAGTATCTCTGGCAGTGTCATGTTGGCTCGAAACAACGCCTCCTCACGGAAGCCATAGAAGTCAACTGGATCTTCAAACTCCTCAATTTCGGCCACATACGAAGAGTAGGGCGGCAACACCGGAAATGGTGTGGCGTTGACGCCGTAGATCGCAACCGTCGGCAACCACTTCCCCAAAAAATCCCCCCTAGCGCGAAAAAAAAGCAGCAATGGGCTACAGCTCACAACGGAGTGATGCCCGGACTCGCATAGGCGTCGGTAGATGAGCGGTAGAATGTCAAAGGCCACACCCACCGCCTCACAAAAAACACAACCCTCTGTGTAATAATACACCAACGCCGTGGGAAGGGGCCGACGCGGGGGAGAGAAACGAAATGAGCGACGCGACATTGGGGTGAGTCGTTTTGACGCAGCTGACGCATGATGGCCAGCCTTTTCAGGCTGAGGAATGTCAGCGGTCGTTATTGGGGGGCCGATAATTTTATCTAAGCTAATCTGCGGCAACAACGGAACGGCGACCCGTGGATCACGTGAGACACGCTTCTCCGCCTCAGCCCACCAGCCGGTTACTTCCTGAAGGTAGTCGTGGATTATCCGCGGCGTACTCAACTCCCTCGAAAGGTGATACGAACGAATAATGGGTCGCTGCCGCACATTTCGGTGATAAAACTGTTGCGCCTCAGCAAATGTACTGTTCGGGACGAGCAACCACGGCATCTCGCGAAGCGTCGCGTTGGCTCTCTTGGCGTATATCTCCTTCTCCTGTCGCACCTGTAACGGTTCGTCGCCTTGCAGAAGAGTTGTGAACTGCCTCAACTCATTCCTCACAAACTGGTAACTCTCGGGGAACATTCCCGCCGTGCGATTGGCGCGAATCCACCGCTCCATCTCCCATCGCAAAGAAAACTCCTGACGCGCATCCCACGACCTCTGACCCGCGCGCACACAGTACGACGAGGCCACATCGGTGTCATGCCCGAAGAGCGCAGAAAGGTGGTCCGTCAATGTGATTGTAGGGCAAACGTTGGCAATGATTTCAGTTGGGGCCGCACGGGACGCGTCGACTGCCAGCAACGCAAATAAGCCTAGAACCAGCAGAAACCCCAGCAACACGCCAAACCCAGAGACACAGGGACGCGTCATTACCATACCGCTCCGCACGCACACATACAGACACACGGAAACAGAGACTGAGACAGACAGCAGGGGGGAGGGAGGCAATAAAAAGCAGGAATACGCAACAAAGGGAAGAGCAGCAGAAAAGGGGGGGGAGGAAGGAGGAAATAAATAAGAATTACCAACCGGCATGTGTTTTTCTCCTTGTTTTTTTTTCTTTTGTTGTTGTTGATCTTGGGACTGCTGCTGTGGTTACTGACAATTACACTATTTCATTATTTCTCCTTTGGCCCCTTCCTCTCCCTATTTCCCACTCTCTCTTGGCATCCTTCTCTTCTCACTGCTGCTGCAGGTGATGGGGGGTGCAGCCCAAGGGATATTCCCCCCGTTCGGGCCTCCACGGCGCCTGCGCTCCACACACAAGAAAACTCGCTGCCAAATCCAGGACCTCGCTGCCACAGGAGAGTAAAGATAGCAAAAACAAAACAAAGCAACAAAGAAAAAAAAAAACGAGAAAATAAAATTGCTACCCTGCTCCGCCGCTCGCAAAGTTGACAAGAAATCCTGTTAAAAACAAACAAAAAGCAAAGGCATCACCCTGTCACCACGCCGTAAAACAATGCAAGCGAAATGCGTTGGCGGGACTCGGAAAGCAGTGCTGACATAAGCAGCTCTGCCCCGGGGCCAGACAGGACGTTCTTTCCATGGTAAACAACAACCCATGCACGATTTACCGCCAAAGCCGCCTCTACACTCACTTGGTTAAGTAATGCGCGTAAGACAGCATTGCGATACGCTACATTTGTTGTTGTTTCTTTCCCAGCACTACCGGGGGGGTCCGGGATCGGCACATAAAACATAAAACGATAATGCCTACCTGTGTCACCCCTCGTGACATCAACCTCAACCTGACCATGCGGGGGTGAGGCTGTGCTCGCATCCTGTGAAGAGGCAATGACTGTGAGCAGCTGGCAGACGTTGTCTTTGGACCCAAGCGAACGGCTCTCTGCCGGCGATAGGACAGGTCCACTGGAAGAAACCGAGGCACCGGATAAAAAGAACCCGCCTTTGTCTACCACGGGGCAAACGGAATATCTACTTACAGATAACGAGGCGCTTCTCACCGTCGTGTCTCTCTCCACGACACAAGGCACTCTGCACCGCAGCAGAGCGGTGACGCGACACGCCACGGATCTTTCGCATAAGCTTTGATCCTCCCGAAGACGCTTAGTACCCAACAAGGAGGAAATCTGCATTCGATTCACGTCCAAACACCACAGCGGAAGCACACGAAGCTAAGGAACAACTCCGCAAGGGATGTGTGTTAAAATCAAAGGCTGGGTGCGTAGAGTGGCCTCCGGCCCTCGCCAAAAAGGTGCCAAGTGTGGGGTGGGAGACACCTGGGGTTGGAAAAGGTAGAAAAACAAAAAAAAGAGCAAAAGCGAAAACAAAAGGATGAGAGAAGTAAATTTGTATTGTTGTTGTTGTTTTATTTGTGTGTTGCACTGGAGACACCACGACGAGCAGAGAAGGCAAGCAAAGAAGTAACACCCACACAGACCCTCCTCTCCTCCGCCTCCTCAGGGAAGCCATACCTTGCTAGTTGCTGATGCATCGAGAACCAGAAAAAAAAAAAAGAGATGTCGGGGGTGCAGAGGAAAGACTAGCCCCAACCAGCGCCGTTGCTACTTTGCTTACGTCTGATGGGTAAACACAATTACATTTCCCCTCCCCCTGTTTCTCCTTTATTACTCCTGTTTGTTGTGTTTTCCTATATATTCTCCTCCTCTACCTCAGTCTCCCTCTCCATTCATCACTGGCTCATCTTTTATATAACTATTTGCCTCCTCTTTCCTTGCAAGCTCTGCTTCACACACACACACACACACACAAACACTGGCGCCCGATGAGTAGTTCCGCTTCCATCTACTCTCCGCACTCACTCCTGCTTTGCTCCAGCTCTCTTTCCTTCTCGTTCGTCCTACATTGCATCGTCCTCTCCCTTATCCGCCTACTTCTCCCCCACCACACAGCCGCTCTTTAAGCCGTAGCCTACCCAGCGGGATTCCTAACCAACAGCACTGCTAAATTACTGCAAGTATGCCCAGTGTGCTCATCACCTTGGCCACGCAGTAACCGGGAAGGAGCAAGCAGAAATAATAATAATAATAATAATAAGCATTCAACTTCCTAAATTATTTCTCTCTTCTTGACCCCTCTGTACAAACGTATTACAGTTTTCCAATATAAATGGTGTTGTCATCTATCCACCTGTAAGGTGGAATCTCCAGGTTTAGCGGCGCCGGGCCTTGACGAATGCGGCCAGAGGCATCGTAGTGGCTGCCGTGGCAGGGGCAAAAGAAGCCATTGTAAAGTCCCTCGTTCGCGATAGGAATGCACCCCAAATGAGTGCAGATGGCAATGACGACAGCCTTGTCACTGTGATCAGGAAAGCGGGCCTCGTCGGTCTCTGGGTGCTTCAGGACGCTCAGGGGTGTCTCCGACAAATCCTTCATCTGACGCGCACTGCGCCGGTAGACAAAAATGGGCCGCCCGCGCCACACAATGGTTTTACATTCGCGCTCCTCTAGCTCTCCCACCTCGGCCTCAATGTTCATCTGTCCAACCATAGACATGGCCGGCTGACCAACGTACCAGAGTGGCAGCACGGCATAGCGAGCCATCAGAATCACAAACCCCAAAAGGGCGGAGTTCAGTGCATAATCCGTCACACGCGCCCTGTCCTCGAGTTCTTCAGGCAGCTTTGGCTTTAAGATGTATTTACGGAAGAATTCCTCATCCCACATCGAGGCATCGTAGTCCTTCAAGGCGACCCCCGCCGTAGCCTCAATTCGGCCCTCCGGGGCACCGTCAGGGTAGGTGTTAAGCACCACTTCCGAGGAGGTATCTACGGTGCAGAGCGCGGGGTCAGAGTACTTCGCATACTGACCGTGCGTATTCATCATCTCCTTTGACACCGGCGGCTTCATAAACTCGTCCGACCACGAGCTCACGGGCTTGTCCTTCACCGTCAACGGGTTGGAACCCTCAAGCTGCTTAAACACCAAAGAAACATGGTTGAGCCGTGTTCTACGGAGCGCCGAGATGCACGATCGACGAAACATATGTAGACAACAGGGGCGGAAACTTCAAGTGACCACAAGAATAGAAACGGAATACCTAGAAAATATAATATATATATATATATATATATTATATTATATTATATACCTATATCTGCTCCTTCAACATGTGGAAAAGCAAGACAATAAATAATAATAACACAAAGAACAGTTAGTGGAGTCTTGGCGCAATACACGTACCCGAACCCTACCCCGTTCCCGCCACACACGGGCACACGGGCGCAGCCAAGTAACATACACACCGATAGACACACAAGAAATAGCAATTCAACGCACCGAGAGAAATTGACAACAGCAAACAACAATAATACACACACACACACTCGTCACTCATAAACAAATAAAAGACTGATAGTAAACACGTATTGAAACTTGTGTAACTAACTTTCCATTTCTCCTGAAATTCGCTCACGTTGCCACTGGCACCGATACCGCGCACCACGGCTACGCGGCATCCACCGCGGGAAACATTGGAATACCAACCATAAAAGCGATTCTTCGGGTGGCGGCACTTGCGGTCGCCAGCACCACAGGCGCATGAGCCCAGAAGAAACGTGAGCGGGATATGAACAAAGGTGTCGGTTTCCCACAAATGCTGGCCCAAGCCCCATGATCACCATTCGCGTCATTCTCCTTCATGGACGCAAAGACGCCCGCCACTAAGTGATCAACCTTGCTTGCACCTGTTGAAGCATTCCTACACGTCACGTAACAGGGCGTTGAAGAGACCAGCTTTACTAACTGTTTTGCCACCAGCACACTAGCGAGGCTGGAGCTACAGAGGTTGGGTTCTTCCAGCTCCACTCCGGCAAGGGCATCTGCCAGAAAGAAGCGCTCGTGACTATCCTCAAGAATAAACACTTCGTCTTGAGGTCCCAAAAGCGTAACACCGCCCTGACTTCGCCTCACGTGGACAAAGTAGGGATCCAGTGCTGTATGAAGGCCCTCTAACTTTTTTTTGCTTGTTGCTTGCATCAGCAACAGCAACACACGTCGGGAATGAAAGCGACGTGGACCCTGATCATCCAACGCAGAGTGCACCAAGTCTAGGAAAACGGAGTGTGGAATCACCACCTCGCGATGCTTTGCAAGCTGCAACAGCTGATTGGTGCTTTGCAGGAGGAATGCCGTGTCAGGGGCAACGATGTTGTGGTGCATCCGACGATTCAACAGTAGTTCCACGCGTGTCGCTGCATCATGCACCCCCACACCGCCAAAAAGCTCACTGGATGCATCCGTCCACGTGGTTGCGGTCAAGCCGCTTTCTCTAACCGTCGCTCTTCCCTCCGGCGACTGCCACTACTACTACCACCACCACGGCCACCCACATAACCCTGAGCCCTACTGCGAGGAAGGACGTCGTGAGCCTCGCTCGACAGTACCAAAGTGAGAGCCGTCCGCCGCACGAATAACGCATCCCACGACGAGGCTAGAGACTGCATAAACCTCAACGGCTCCTTGCACAGCGGCCGGAGAGGCTCCACAGTCGCCTCAAGTGCCATCAACTTCGCCTGTTGCACCTCGCTCAGTCCCTTGAGAAGCGCCAGGCCACCAAAATCCTCAAAAAGCAGTTTCTGCCGAGCGTTCTCAGCAGACGGCTTTGCAAAGACAAAGGGGTGATGTAACACCGCGCGACCGACGCGTACAAGCGGAGCCATCTCCACCTGCAAAGAAAGGCGCTGGTTATCTACAACCTGACGCATCTGCGAAAGAAGGTAGTAGAGCCCCAGCCTCTGCTGAGAACACTGGGTCTCGCGAAGGAGCTGCATGCTCTGTTGAAGCAGGATGCGAAATTGTTCCGCCTCCGTCAGCTCCGTCAATCCTAACAACGGGAGCTGCGATTCCTCCTTGAACCCGCCGTGCATGTTGGTGGAGGTCCACACACCGCCGTCCTGGGGCGATGCGCTTAACACCGCAAAACGTCCTGCCATCGCCGCCACGCTGCACACGTCATTTACGTCCGCGTCTTCGGCCGCTATCATTTGAGCCACAATTCTGCTTTGGTGCGCGCGATGAGGCCGCTGATACAGTGCCACCAAGACCAGCTCATCAACAGTGAGCATCTTCATGGACTCCACGCTTAAACCTCCAGGAAGCAAAGGCGGCCTCCCATGGTGCACCTATACCGCATGATTTTCGAAGCAGCTGCTTTACTCTGGCGTCCATCCCGACATATTCCCTTCACTACAAAGCAACGCGAACGTCAAAAAAAAAAAAAAACAAGGTGCGCAGGATCATAATATATATATATATACTCTCTCACGCAAACACACAAGAAAATTGGGCGAGAACGCGGAGGAGGGGACGGAATAAAAACTAAGCAATTACAACGCACTGGACGGAGAAAGTTTAGCCCACGCCCCCACAGAGTGGGGATGCCACATACAACTCACCAGCAGACTTCACTGGGAAAAATTCTTCAAATTTTGGCTTCCAGCTTTTAACCGTCCACTTGCGCTTTGGGGCGCGGTTTGGAGATGGAGTCGCCCTTAACTTCCGACCAACACGTAGAGTGGCGGTGTGGTTATATCGTTCGCGCGACGCCCAGGAAAAGAGTTTTTCTGTGGGGCACCTCTCACGAATCCACTGCTGCGCCAATGCCCTGGCATCCGCCTCACTGGTGCTGGAGGGTCTCCAGACTGCAACATCTGTCATGTTTCCATCACGTAGCACGCGGACAGTAAAAATGGCGCCCGAGTCGCGGGGATTGTCCCGCGACAGCTGGTGGTACGGGACCCCGCTCGCCGCCCCACTGGGTGTTCCACTAAAATACTGAAAATAGCTCTGACCCACCGAGACGCACAGGAAAAGCAGCACGACCAACGCAAACAGCTTAGTTACAACGCGCCGGGACTCTTGTCGGCTCGATTTCCGGAAAAACGCAAAGTCATCCGTCGGGCTCCATGAGATAAACGCCTCTATCCAGCCATGTCTCTCCCTCAAGACCTCAGAAACGTGCGCTTGGTGTGCTACAAAGTAAAGCATCTCTGCAGCCGCAAAATTGAACAGGGCGACAACTATCTCATGCAGTGACGGATACTCTGTGTCAAACCCATGCAAATTATCAGCGCCTCCCGCATCGAAAAGCGCACGTAACCTCGTATCCTTCAATACGGTATAGGCCTTACCTACCGCACGAAATGCCGCATCCGCCTTTTCGTCACCGATGTTTTTGTCCGGGTGAAGTTTGAGAGCCAGTGAGAGATAGCTGCGGCGGATGTCCTTCTCACTCGCACCCCGGCCCACGCCCAAAATGTCATAGTAGTTTTTCTCGTTCTCAAGAATCCACTCGATGTGAGAGTGCTCCATAGGTCCCATTTATATACCTAGAGCTAGCTATACGTATATATATATATAATGTGGGGCTAGACACGGTAGTTATGGATACCCTGCCCTTCGCCTTGTTTGTGCTGTTTCGGGTGCCTCCGCCTGCGACCCGGCGTCCAACAGATGCGTGGAGTCAACTGACCGCACGGCATACGCATGCGGGGCAAAGGCAAAAAAAAAAAAATGAGAGGACAGCAGTGAGCAGGAACTCCATCACACCATCAACGTCTGGGAATGGTAATAGGCCCCTCCCCCCTCCCACTCAACCACCCACTTCCCCTCTTCTGCTGCAAAATAAAATATCCGCAATGGATGGCCGCCCGCCCGCCCCCTCAAAAAAAAAAAAAAACACGCAACTCCAAAAATAATAACAATAATAAAAACATTTTTCTTCTTTTTAAGGAAGAAGCGCTAATGAACTCTGTTGACGCTACCTCCCGCCCACCGCTATCGACACAACCACAAAGAGATTGGCACCTGCACTGTGGCCACTAGGAGGGAACAAACAGCTCGCAGCCCTCATGCACCGATGCAAATATAACGTCGCGCAGGTGGTTAACCTCCGGTCGGGCATTGCATCGAAGGATGAAAAAGTCCTTCGCACGGTTCAGTGGAAATGCCCCATGCTCCGCAGACTGGCGCTCACAGGCCTTCACGAGTGCCTCCACCGCACAGCAAGCTCTCACCTCCTGCGCATCAGCGACATGTAACTCCTCCTCACGTGATCGTTTTTGCCCGTTACACACACGCGGAGGCATCTCCAGCGTTGCGAGAAACGCATCCACCGCCCCCTTCAGCCCGCCCGACACACCCCACGGTGGCCAGGAGAAGAGCAAGGCGGCAAACACCCATGCCCGTTCCTCAATCAGGGAAAGCTGGAAAGAAGTGGGGGTGGGGCAGGCGGTTGCCGTGGTTGCAGTGGTTGTCACTTGTAGAAACAACCCTAGAGCCTCCAACGAGGCCAAAAGCGTCGGACGCATCTTCACTAGCGTGTACAACAAACGTGATGTCGCCACTGTGGCGCATCGCCGAGCAAACATCTCACCTGCCCAACCGAGAAGCATAGGCGCTGCCTGGAGGAGATTCATGTCTGGAATCGCTTCCCTCGTCTGTCGTTCGACGGCTGAAATAATAAAAGCTCGCAGCAGGACGTGTTGCGAGGAGCTCCGTGCCCATTCCTTCAAGGGCATTGGAACAATAGAGCTCACACGGCAAACCTTGCGCCGTCGCATCGCCCCATCCACCATCCACTGCACCGTTGCCAGAGCAGCTGCAACACAAGGGGACAGCTGCCCAGTCCAATCGGCTTGCAGTTTCCTTTCAAGTTCCGAGTCATACCGCAAGGCGAACTCGTTTCCGTGCGCACGCTCCAGCAAAAGAAAAACAACATGCCACGTGTACACTTGTGCCTTTGGGTGTGCCACGTGTTGCAAAGACCACTTAAACAGGGTGTGATCGCAGCAACTCGCCACACCGACTGGCAATCGGGCAAGAGCCAACACAAGAAGGCGTGCTACATCCCCCGTAAGAGCAGAAACTTCTCTGAAAAGCAAAAAAGGTGTCACGTGCTGCTCAAGCAGCGTCTGAATAAATGCGGTCGACATGGGCCCCGCCCCACCCGCAGCCAGCGTCATACATTGGCACAAAAAACAAATAACACGGCGACTGAGAGGAAGGTTGGTGGCAGCCGACCTACGCACAATCCCAAAGAGTTGGAAGAGAAAAAGGTTACACGTCGAGGCGAGCGTCACCACAAGGTGACAGAGTGACGCCTCTTCTTCTTCCTCAGTGTGCCCTGGCATCACATCGGAAAAGAGATAATCATGCGCCTCCTTAACGTTCTCCGTGGGACCGTCACATTTCATGTGCATGACGGTGGAGGAGACTAAGACGGCTAGCAGCGCTGTTCCCCAGCCACAAGACTGCAAGGCATCCAACCATGCCCTTTCCTCGGAGCGAAACAGCTGAAAGAAAACGAAGGAAAGCTCCTCTGGCACTCCGCACACTCGAGCCGTGGCACCGACGGAATCCACGTGCAGACATCCTCGCTGGGGTAATTCACCTCTCCATCTGTGGTAGGCCGCACTGGTCTTCAAGGCGGTGAGAGCAGCAATAGCGTGGTCGTCGTCCCCCACGTGAGTAGTACTAGAGACATCATCGCCGCCACCGCCGGCTACGACCAACCGTCTCGCCTCTTCCGAAAAGCAAGGGAGCAAAGAGAGTTGCCGAAATAAAAATTCTTCAAGCACGTGAGCCTCCACCGGCGCGGAGCAGCTAGTCGCGGCAAGCGCCAGCAGCAGCGAAGCTGCCCAGTGAGGGTGCTGGCAGAACGACTTCTCTAGCAGCGCCCGCAGCGACGCGGAGTCGTCCAGGAGAAGAGCGCCGGGCAGGTCCGCGCTCGCCGCGTTACGGTTGGCCTCCGTAAGCTGCATAAAGTGATGCAAAATACGCGCCCGAAGTGCGGCAGCGTCGCCTTCGACGCGAAGCAACTGGGTGAGCAGGTCGTTTTCAAGAAGGTGGCACACCTGCCGCTCCACAAGTCCGTCAGCCACCGTGCCTCCGTCGCCCCTGACGGCCGCGGCATGCTCCAGCACCTTGTCGCTGAGAAATAACAAGAGGGTGCCGGTGCTTCCGTCAAAAAGAAGGGAACGACTGTCCACGGCGGCGAAGCCGACTTCCAAGCACTGACGCAACGCCTCAGCAACGATCTCCGTGGTGAGACGAAGCAGAAACTCCTGACACATGGGAAGCAAAAACACCACTGCGGAAATGAGGCACCGCATCGTGTCACTGGAAAGAGATAATAAACGATTATTAAAGGGCCACTGACCTTCACGCAGCTCATCTTCAAGAAGCGCAGGTCCACAGGACTCCGTTACAAGCTGCAATAATGTATTCACAAGGACCGAAACAGTCTCCGGGACAAGCGTGCCTGTCCCAATGTTGAGTCCCCCACAAGCAGCCTCCAGGGAAAGCAATTGAAGCAAAAAACAATGAAGCGAAATGCCGCCTCCATTATGCACAGTCTGCACGACCTGTCGGGCTACAGCATTGACATTGCTAAATGGATCTGTGACAGCCGCCAAAAAATGTGGCCCCTTCACTGCGGCTTCAAAGGCGTTGCCGCTGATTTCTGTAAGTTCAAAAATAACACGGAGAGTAGGACCCGCGGGCATCATTTCGGTTGGGAGTACATTCAACAAGGACACCAACATCACCGCAGAATCCGCCGATGCTGTTCGAAGAGACTCAATAACGTAATCTGCAATATCGCCATACTCACCTCTCACCAACTGCGTCGCCACAATGAGCTCTCGCACAGTTTCTGCTGCAGCCACAACAATATCAACATTAAGGTGCAGCAACAGCAACGTTAAGTGGCGAAAAAGTCGCACTGGCACGCTTGCGCAGGAGTCACAGCTACTGTTGCCGGCACTGTCGACTACTCGAGGGAACAGGAGCGCCGTCGTTGTCGTCTCGTATGTCACGAGAAATCTTGCGAGGCAAAGCGCATTCACGACAACCGGTTCATCATCTCTAAACGTCTCCAATACCCCTGCCAAGTAGTCCAGGAAGGAGCCACGCAGCGCATCGCCGTTGCTGGGAGAAGACAACACAGTCGCCAGATCCTCTAACAGTGTCGGATGTGTCGCACACGTGTCAAAGATCTGGTGAAGAAGGTAAAGCGTCAGTTCCACCCGATATGCATCTCGCAGGGATGGCAGGAAGGTGCAAACGGCGGAGACGCAGTGCTCAGAAAGAGCCCGCATGAAGGTGGGACTCATGTCAGCCAAATCCGTCAGAAGGAGAAGACCCGCGGGGGACTCCCCTTCCTTTGAAAGGCCCACGCGCACCGCATCACACATGCGGCGTGCCAGTCCTGAAAGAGTCACGTGATACACTGAGCCCGCAGCGCTCTCCTCTTCGCGGTCCTCCACCCCCAGAGGGGCTCCCTCCAGAGAGCACGCCCCACCACCCATCTTCGGAGCATGCTCTGCGGCCTCCCTCAACAGTGAGAAGAGGAGACTAAGCAACGTCAGACTTGCCTTGTAAAGCTGCACATGCCGATGCAATGAGGACGAGGCGCACAAACTTTCCGCCAGCTGCGTAAGTGCATCACGAAAAGACAGAAATGATCCCCATAGTGACGCCAGTAAGACAGCCGGTACGGCACCGGTGTCCGATGAATCCTTATCTCCAATTCCCAAACCCTGCTTACAAAACAGAGGGGAAAAACTTTGCTGCAGCAGAAGTACAGTATCCTGCAGTGCCTGAACGGCAACGTTTGTGGGGAGTCGCTCAAACTGATTCAAAAGACACGTAACACAGAGCGTCCGACGAGGAACAAACGCCGCTGATGACGCCCCACTGCCTACTGGAAGAATTCTGTGATGAGGATTGTAGCATTCCTGCATTTAAAACTTCCCACCCAGCAGCTGCGGCAGCACGCTTCTTCTTCGCCGTCTCACTACTGTCAGCAACTTGCACTCCCCAAAACGACGTAAATATATATATATAAAAAGCAGTCTGAGTACGAAAAGAGTGAGAAAAAAAAAAGTAAGCAACATCCCATAGTTCATGGGCCAATATGTCATTTAGGCTCTCTTTTTGCTTTTTGTCTTGTTCCTCAATGTCCTCCACTCTCGCAGCGGGGGCCAAACATCGAACCCCCCCCCCCCCCCCTCTTCATTTTAATTTCCCCTTCGTTCTACACTGCGTCCCACCACCGCCCCACGCCTCGGAGGAAAAGCCAAACGAGAGAGATGGGCAGCAGAGACCGGTGACAGCACGCTACTGTCGACGGTGTTTTGAGCAACGTATCTTGTTGCTTCCTCTCAGACGCGGAGAAAACCCCCCGACTCCTAAAGGAAACGGAAGAAGAAAAAATAAAATAAAAAATGATGGAAAAAAGGCAGGCGCACTCACAGCCCTTTGCGGCAACATTTCACCCTCCCAAATCCACCCATACACACAAAGAGAGAGAGCAAAGAATAATAATAATATTGTGATTGTATTCACGGGGCAGCTAAAGAACCTATACTGCAGCTGCAGAAGCCGCAAGAGCACCGCGGTCCTTGAATGCCTCCAAAACCTCCGGGTACGCCACCACGTAGTACGTCGTTCCATAGTGCATATTTCGAAGCTCCTTAATCTCCAGACGTGACTCCCGCAGATAGTCCCGAATCGGTGAATTCCACTTGCATCCATGCGTGTTCACCGTATGGCGCTGCTCAAAGAAGTTCAAGAACCAGTTCACAGGGGCATACGGGCTGCTGCCGTGTTCAAGGAGCAGAATAAGACCGCTTGGCTTCACAACACGCTGCATTTGCCGAAGTGCCTTAACAGGGTCATGAAGGTGACAAAGCCCAAACATATCTACCACGCAGTCAAACTCTCCATCGGCAAAGATGTCTAGATTCTCTGACCGTACACGGCGCACGTCATATTTCGGATACGATGTACGAGGAATGCGGTATTGCAGGGCCTGCAGCTGTTGTGCGTTGGAATCACACATCACAACCTCGTGAACCGCATAGGGGTAGGCACCGATGTTTTGGCCATGCCCGGCAGCAAGCTCCAATACTTTTCCGTAAGCTTGCTGCAGCATTTCCTCGCGTAATTGACGAATCTCTCGCGGTTGCTCAATCCACACACGGACAAACGTGAGCACCGCCCCTGCAACAAAGACACAGGCCAGGGCAATACCCCACGTTCTCAGGCGTTCCTTCACTGGACGCTTCCCGCGCTGCAGTTGAAAGTACTCCCGCTGTTGGTAATACTCATGATGCCAAAATGGCTTTACATGCTTTGGAATATCATCAGTGTAGTCGTAGAAGTTTTTCTTCCCCTTAGATAAAATCGGTGAGTACGTCGTATCCCACTGCCACACAACTGCCTCGGGCTTTTTGTCGCGGCCCTCACGCTGCAGTGCATGTCGAGCATACTCCAGCACAACATCATCCGACGGCTCCAAAAATCCACCCTTCTTCTCCACGTTTCTATCCGTGTTTTCGACGGAAAGGGCCCCAGCTGCGTCTTTTGTTGCCTTTTCCTCCTTTAAGAAACTCTCCTTTCCACCCTGCCCCTGACCCGACAGTGTGCTGCACCACCTGAGAGAAATCGTCACTGTCAACGCGGTCCCCGAGCGTGTGGGGGGCAGACGACGGAAGAACATGCACAACTCACGGCCACTATCACACACTATCGTCACTACGTTATTTCTTGACGCCCACGCAGCCGGCAAGCAAAGAGGAGAGGGAAGAAAAAAGGTGGCATGCGGCGACGAAAGGAGTCAACACAACGCTAAATGACTTTGTATTTTCGCTCCTCCTGCAGGGAACACAAACTGTACGTCCTGAAAAGAGGGAAAAGGGGACGCATGAGGAGGGTAATATGTAGGCAAGTCCACCATTATTTTTTTCTTAAAGAAAGCAGGGGGGCTCATGCTTTTCCGTGTGTGTGTGTGTGTGTGTATGTGTGTTTGTTTGTTTGTTCCAAACAACAGTTGTCGATGCAACCAGTGGGTGCAACAACAGTGAAGGAAATAGGTACACAAAGAGCACGCGAGAGATGATGACCACATAAATAACTCCTTTGAGGAGAGGGGAAAGAAATACACACACTCATACACAAAAGAAAAAAAGTAAATGGGAACGAAGGATGAAGCAGGCGGATTTGTCCACAACACCGCCAGATTTCCCTCCCGCGCAGAGCCCAAACAGCACTGCAAAGATCATGAGAATACAAAAAGCTCAAACACAAAGGCAACAAAAAGAAAGAAAAAAAAAAGAGTGCCCGTAACCCCACTATTTATTACTTCCTCTCCCTGTCTTATCTCTCTCTCTCTCTCCTTATACTCCTTCTTTTTGCTTGTCGCTCCAAACTCCAAAATACACACAATAATGAGGAAAGGTCACAAGGGTTCTCCCCTACCGCTCAAATACGGCGAGGAAGAATACTGTGGGTATTGGATTGGTGGGTACTGCGGAGGTGCTCCCCCACCTTGTCCTCCAGGAAGGGCTGTTGGGTACTGTTCTGGTGGCCTTCCAGTTGACAGCTGTGCGAGAGGAATTCCAACCACAGGCTGGGGGTCACTGTACTGCGAGCGCGTCGGTTGTGGATAAGACGGCTGCTGTTGCGATGGTGGGGGGTAATACGGCTGCTGTTGCGATGGTGGGGGGTAATACGGCTGCTGTTGCGATGGCGGGGGGTAATACGGCTGCTGTTGCGATGGCGGGGGGTAATACGGCTGCTGTTGCGGCAACGCCCATGCCTGCTGGTATTGCTGCGGCACATACTGCATGAGACTAGTATTCATTGTGATTCCGCCAAACAGGGAAAACGGCTTGTACAAATCTGCTGGCTTTGAGCTGGAAAGTTGAGGCACCTGCGCGTACCCCTTCTGACGCAGCATCTCCCTTGTCTTAATGAAAATGTCCGCGTAAGTGAGTCGAGAGGTGTTTAGCAAGGCCCAGGTGAGGGCCTGTGTTGCGGCCCCACCAGCGGCTACGGAGCCCGCCCCAAACGAGGATGTGTTTGACACATCGGCACTTGTTCCGGCGTCGTCGCACCCGCTAAACATCACCACGTCGCCATTTGAAAAATTATTGCCACGCACCTTCCGCATCTCGTGCCGTCCTCCCGAGAGATAGCGGTTGTTTCCCACGTACACAAAGGGAAGATCCAACATCGAGGCGGAGTGGCAGCAGTCAAAGACTGCCGTCATCCGCACTCCAGCCGGGAGTCCCTTGACAAGTAACTCAAACAAGTCATCATCTAAAATGGCACCCTGCGATTCGTAGTCCAGCGGCACCAAACATTGGTCGTACGCCTCCGCCGCGTCGTTCTTCGACCTAGTCTCCGTCCCGTGCCCAGAGTAGTGAAAAAATAGCACATCCCCCGGTCGAACATCATACACCAACCACGCCATGTGCCTTATAATGTTTTCTCGGGTTGGCATGGCTGTAAAGTTGGGGAAACGCGGTTCATCTACAAGAATACAACACTCGGAAATGGGAAACTGGATTCGCTGCAGCGTTGCAAGCATTTGTTTAACATCGTTAACACACCCACTCAGCTGACTTCGTGTTCCTGTGTAGTTAATACCTATAAACAGCGCCTTCACCCGACCACCTGTGTATGGCGTAGGGGCCCTGTAAGGGATAACCGGACGGCACCAGCGTGCCTCGCGCAGCGCCTTCCCAACGTCAACGCGCTCTGGACGGCGTACCCTTCCAATACTGTTCACCACATACGGAAGGGCAATTTGTGCCAGACCGCCTAGTAACGTGCCCAGAAACAAATCCATTTTTGTTATCGTTCTGCCTCTGTTCCTGCTACTGCTGCGACTTTTGCCTGCCGGTATGCCGTTGTCTCCGTATGTGTGTGTGTGTTTGTGCAACCGTGACCGGCACCACGCGTTTCTCCCACGAGACCTCTTTTTTAATGACCCTCTTACTTTACTTAGAAAACTGTATAAAAAGCAAAAAAAAAAAGAACAGAGGCAGTTTGCCGTAAAGAAAAGATGAGCTGGCATTCATTATTTATTTATTTATTCATTGCAGACTGCTTCACTCCCTCTCCCCACACACATTCACCCACAGAGGAGAGTGACCCTACGACGCAGAAACATAGATAGATGCATATGCAACTGGATCACTGATCCCATGAGGACCGCAGGTAAACATGCATAATCCAGAAGCACCTATGTCAAAAGAACCACACGCGACTCATCGGTTGCAGTCCATGTGAAAGCAGAAAACTCTCCACGACGTACCGGCTGGACGCGAGAAACGGACTCACAAGCAGCGCACCTGCTCTGCTAACAACCGTCAGCTCCACTAGCTCCTCGTGGGCGCTGGAAACTTCATCCTGGCGGAACAACGTCATACTCCACCACGCGGGTTTCTTCTCGAGCCGTTTTAGCTCCTTCCGCATCTCACTTGACGCGCTCACGTAGATGGTGTCAAAGCCCGGAGTCGCGTCACTCAGCTTCTCCTCTTCTATGACTTGTGTGATACGCTGTACCAGCTGTGCCGCCGTGGGGGAACACTGATGTAAGGTGTTGTTACTCACATGACTCTCAAACCGTTTCCGCTCCTCTGGAAAATTGGCGACAAGGTACAGAAAGTGATTCCCGCGTGGCTCACCGAGAAGTGCAAGACAGTCCTCCACCGGATTGTGTGCCAAAACCGCCAGCACCTTTCGTGCTGTCAGTGTGTGTGCTGTGTAGAAGTTCTTTGCATCTTGAACTACACCGGGATGTGGAAGCAGCATGGACCGCACCGCCCAGTAGTCGCGCTCGCCGTATCCATTGTTGCCCCCTGAGTCCTGTAGGCACGATCGCACAAATTCGCTCGTATTTTTCACCTCAGCGCAGTCCATACAGAAAATGACCAGTGGCGTTTCCACCAAATCGTGCAGAGCGGCAGTGGTGCTTTCAGAGCTCACGCTCCATTGAAAGATCGAGGGAAAAGTAATGTTGGGGTTATTATTGCGGTAGGCGCAAAAGGCAAACTGCTGCAGAAGAAGCACACGCTCCAATGCGGTGGCTACCACAACTTGAAGCTCCTTATCCTGACCAAACAACAGTGCGGGACGGCCGGTGCGGCCAAAAAATGTAAGGGTCTTCCTCTCTTCCCCTTCCGCGAAGTAAATGGCTCCCTTGTCCCCCGGGTCCTCCTTGTTATACCTCCACCCCATTCTCTGCATGCGTTCTGCCTCCATCAACATCCATCGTTGCAAGGAATTGTGGAGATCCTCCTTCCATCGAAGAAGGAGGAATTCATCCGAAAGCACTGTGCATCCTGGAAAGTTGCCGCAGAGGAGTTTGTACACCTTCCGTATAGAGGCCAGTGACCGATGGATGTGTACCCTGTGCATTCCCTCGCCCTCTGTCAGGTTGCCCAGCAGCTCACTCAGGCGACGCAGCTCGTTTTCGGCTGCCGTCACCTCCACGTTGGGGACCCCACCCTGCTTGGCCTCTCCTTCGCTTATGATGGCGATCTCAGCCTGACACTTATCCACCGCATCTGTAGCCACCTTGAACTCCTGTGACAGCTTCCTCATCTCCTCCTCAATCCCTGCATTCTCGTTCTGCACGTCATCGAGGGTTCCGTTGTTCGACGACACGTTGGCACTAAGTGCAAAAATCTCGTTGCCACAGATCTGCAGCATGTCGGCGACGTGTCGCTCATGCCCCCGACTCTTCTCGTAGTTGGCCACAAAATCCTTCTCCCACGTCGTGACACCGTGGCGGTAGCCCAGCGCAAAAGCAACCATGACCAGCACCACCAGCGTGGCCAGCATGGCGGGGTGAAACCGCAGCTCCGCACGGCGATCCCGCATTTGGTCAGCCAGAAAACGGGTACTTCTCTGAATTGTTTTACGGGCTCACGCAGAGGTTGTGTGGAAGCTCTTTCTCTTCCTTGCTACGGCAACGCTCTCGGCCCTTTACTGACGCCGGTGAAGAAAAAACTAATACTGAAAAACCGGAGCCTGCGGACGCGCAGCGATCTTATCCCTAACAAAAAATGAGGAAGACGAAGCATAAAAATAAAATAAGAAACACATCAGCAGCAGCAGCAGCAATGACGTGGAGACTCATTTCTCCGCTCACCCCCATCTCCCCTCCCCCGTATCTCTCCGGGTGAGCCGTTGCTGTGTCACCATGCCATGCCAGCTGCTTCCTTCAGCAAAGCCGTGTTAATTTCTTCTATCACTCCCTTAAGGCAAGTTTTTTCTTTTCTTTCTTCATATACATATATATATATATATATATATATATATATTAGTCCGCCTCTGTCCTTCACTTGGCCCTCACTTCCTTTCACTTCCTCTCTCTCGCTCGCCTCGAGACAAACGCACAACCCATGTCTTCCTTCCCCCACCCACTATCTCTCCCTTCGCACGAATACACTCGCTCGCACCACGCACGCAAATGCGCAAACAGATACGTCAGCGGCGATGGGATGAGCAAAGTCGTAGAGTTTTCTTGTCAAGGCCACCCGACAGCGTGCACAGCACAGTTTGTTTGATTTGCTTCACTTTGCCTTGCTGGCCTTCTTTTCTTTATTTCCCCAATTGAAATCCGCCCTCCGTCAGCCTACAACAGCTGCATGACCTTCTCCCGAATCACGGCTGCGTGGGCCGTGTGCTTGGGTCGATCGGCTGAGTGGCACGTCAGCACCATCTCCAGTGCATGAGAGAGAAGCGGGACGAACTGGCTCGGCTGTTGGCCTGCCGGAAGACGGAGCGCAACATCTACCATCTGCGTCACCAGTGTGAACACAGTGACGGGGTGCACCCTGAACGGCACAATGCACCGAAGCGCCCTCTCCGCTGTGCGCAGCACCCAGCAGACGGTGTCTGTGTCGGGCACGGAATCAATTTGATTGTCAAGCACCTGTAGGCTGCCGATGGCCCTGCGGTACTCCGACATGGCTGCACAGACACGCAGGACCTGCAGCATGCGCAGACTGGAGCTGGTGTCGACTGAAATAAAGTTGTTGTTGACTGCCTGCCCGACACGATAGACCTCCTCACTCTCAAGCGCCTCCGAGGACCGCAAGATGTGTTCAAAGCGTATTTGCAGTGGTTTCGATCGCTGACACTCCACCGCCAACCACACAGCAGGTGCCGTGTCACCGCACGCCATTCGCTCCTCAATGATATTATCATGCAGTACTTCAACCGCCTTGCGTCGGTAGTAGTCGATGGAGGCAATCCACTTATTTAAGGTCTCGCTCAATACGTACTTGTCGTGCAGCAGGCGGCGCAGTGCCACCTGAAAGTCACTGGATTCCTCCCAAGCCGAGCAAATGAAAGTATGAAGAGTCAAAAATGTGTAGCGATCACTCACGGCACTTGCCGCCCGTTCTGTCACAATGCCGTACAAAATGGCAGGGTTCATTAGCGGCGAATACACCACATACATGGCTGCTGTACGCCAGAGCAGTGGGTGGTGTCGAAATTCGGCAACAAAGTCTTCCACAAGTCTGTTACGAATAAAAGTCACATGTATTTGATCTACGGGGGCGCCAAGCGGGGGCGCACAAATGTCAGCCACATGGGCAGCCATGAAAAGCAAGGCAAAGCGTCGGAGTAATTTTGGGTCGACAGTTACCTCCGTCGTGCTTCCCACCCCTGACGACTCGTCACCCGCCTCCAGACTGTTAACAAGTTGTGAAGAAGCAATGTTGCTGTTTTCGTTTGGCGAGGTTGGCAAGTACGCATTGCAACGAACAGCCTCTCCAACAAGATCCATGGCGCAAGCTACGTCTGCCATGCACCGGCTAGCCAATATTCGCTCAACGACGCCAACGTACCACGGCCCCTCTACAGCGCCTTTCCACGACTCCCATGAATTTTGAAACAAGTGGTGCAACTGACGAAGAGTCATGTACGGCTTGCAAACGGCGCACACCGCGGCAACGTAATCCATAACATCTAGCTCTAGCAGATGGCATGTTTCCAGAATCAGAGCTGCATCACCGCTTACCATTAAAAGGAGATCCAGGCATAAAGACTTTAGTTGTTGCGCCGCCTGCAGAATCAAATTAGATGCCTCAGTTGAGGGCATCAAGATACGCTTACAATCCACGACAAGAAGGTTGGCTGCCTCCATCCACCCTCTATGCTCTGTGCTGCTTTTTGGTGTCTCCAAGAAGAGACGAATCACGTCGGCCAAAGTACTCTCCTCTTCAGCATTAAAGGGGTCTACAACACGCGCCCGAAGGTAGTCTACGAGCGAGCTAATGAGGGCTGCAGCGGCAGGATACAGGCCAGCAAGGAAGGCACGCTGAATGGAGATCATGTAGGGTCCAAGAATACCCTCAAAAAGATCCTCCTCCTCCTCGGGCGAAAGCGCTGCTTGCGGTGGCACCTCATCCAATGTGCTTTGCAGCCGGTGAATGGCGTCCACAGACACAAACCGACTGCGGTACCACGCCAGGTATGGCTCACTCGCGTTAACTCCATCGTCGCCGCCGTTCTCCAGGATGGCAAGCACGACAGAGACAAGCTCCCACACCACCTCCGCCGTCGGGTCCACAACTGCCAGATCCTCAATCGCCTTCAGCCGCGACAGAAGCAAATCGGACCACTCACTTAATGTCTGTGGGAAGGCCGCTGTGCTTCTATTATTGCTGCTGTTGTTATTGACGGTGCTTACAGCGGCGGTGGTGGTGGCAGGCCCAGAAATCCCAAATCCCCCCGCGAGCGACTTGGCAAGGTCCTCGTTGCACTTGCTAAAGCGAACCCTCTGCAACTGGACGAATGCGTCGAACCCGGATCGCACCGCAGCAACGAGTATGGGTGGAAGTTCTGATGCAGCCGAGTTCATGTGCGTGTTGGTGGGCCTGTGTGCGTGTGTGTGTGTGTGTGTGTGTGTGTTGTGTGTGTGTGTGTGGGTGGTGTGGTGTGGTGTGGTGTGGTTAAATCCCTCTCTCTCCTCTTCCTCGCCCTAATCGCCCTTCGTCTCCGTGGTTTGCGCCGCCGGTCCTCTTCCCTGCCTTCTCGCTGGCCCGTGTTTCCTCCTACCGCCCCGTCTTCCTGCTTCGTTCTCTTCCTATTTATTTTATTCTCCCCTCCTCACAGTTTGAGGGCGCAGGGGGAATGCAGCTGCGACAGCGTCCCTGCAGGAACCGAAAGGAGGCGGCGGACGACAACCCCAGCAGGCGTTGAGAAATGGGAGAGAAGCGCACCCGCCCATACGCAGAAAAAGGAAAAGACGCAAAGAGAATAAAAAAGTGGAAAACAACATATACACGGCTACGCGCCTGTGTGCCAGCCACGGTGGAGACATCACTGCCCGGAAGGTGAAGACGAGAAGCAAACGACAGCGAAGGACGAGGAGCCGAGAGAAGGGTGACCACGCCCCTCACGGAGCAAAACAAAAACAAAAACAAAAAGCGCACTCACCCAAAGTTTCCCGCCCCAACTCCCCCTCTTCTCACGCAGCCATTCGTCACTATGTTTCATCTCCAGTCACTGCCTCACACCTCATCCTCATTAAGAGATCCTCAGAATTACCCCTGTTTCGTTCTTTTCTCTCCTTTCCAAAAAGGAAAAAGGAAAACTTCGCCAATCGTTGGCCGGTGAAGAATCAGGTTGTTTTTGATGCATGAGGTTCCTCCGCTTCCGGTGCCTCCTCGACCACACCGGCCCGCTGCCGGGCAGCCACGTCATCGGACTGCAGACGCCGGTAAACTTCCGCTACACGGATGTGTAATCCCCACTGCCACGCAAAGTAAACGCCAGCGAGGAGTAGCGCACCGGCGGCTAAAAAAAAGACCTCCCGCAGGATGTGTGCAACAAGATTGCCGATGGTGCGATCAACCACGATGACCAACAGCCCTTTGACAGCCGAAAGAAATACCACGCCTCGTCGCCCCGGATCTTTCGTAAAGAACATCAGACACAAGTGCGAGGACACGCATGGAAATCCCACATACAGAGCCAAGTTGTACACCTTGGCGAAGAAGGGCAGCGCGGACAGCCCAAGAAGCATGCACAGCTGCATGAAATGCACTCCAACGTAGCTGATTGTGATCATCGAGTGCACCCTTGCGAAGGCCCACAACATCATGACAAACTCCCCGCCTGCATACCGTCGCAGAAAGGCAGGACACCGCTCACATTCACGCATGGTAATGTTGCGTAGTTCATTCTGCAGGGCGACCAAAGTGAAGAGTGTCTGAAGCAATGCAACAAAGACGTGGGCAGAGAGTGTAGTGGTGGTGTAAAGCCCCCAGGTGTACTGCACCCAACCAAATATTCCACAGGCCAAATTGAACCCAGGCCCCAACGGCATGGTAAACCAAGTTAAAAGACAATAAAGCGCTTGGCATATTAACTTCCACTCCAGCACAAGCAAATAAAGTTCCGCACGCCAAAGAAATATGGCGGAGCTACCAAGGAAACCCCTGAGAGCTGAGAGGCCGAAAAACTCTGCGAGTGACGGAGCCAGGTGACGAAGCCGGGTAGCAAAGGAACGCGCCGCAAGATTCATGGCGCGACAAACAGGCAGAGCAAGCGCCCTGTGGAACAACATCACACCCGCCCCCAGACTCTTTACGCACAACACTGTGAGCTTCCACTCTGCCTTTAGGGCCCAGTTGTATGCCCCCCAAAGACCCGGCACAAAATCCAGTTTATCTGACGCCCAGCGAAAGGCCTCGCAAGAGATGTTTCCAATTTGGACGCCCAACACATATCTTTGATCATCGGCGTATTGATGGCTAGACACATTGCAAAAAAAGAGTTGGGCGTTTCTTGTCGCGGAACAGTAAACGCCCATTATCACTACCTCCACATTCTCTAGCCCGACAATAGCGTAGGGAATTGTTTTTTTTACTACACATAAAAACGCACCTCGGGCAGCAACAGCCCACTCAAAAAGCTTAGCCGTCGCCACTGACGTACCGGCAAGCAAGACACGTTCCACAACATATGTCACCTGCTCCTGCGTGCTCTGGAGAACCCGGGGCATATGCCAAAGCCATCGAATAGAATACGGCACCTGCTCCTTCAGAGCGGGTGGAGCAACACCACGATCCTCCAGTAGCCGCAACATTGCGTGTCCTCCCAGCCTGGGGAAGCACACTACGAGGGATCCGGTATCACTGGACACAAACTCATTAAGCTGGTGTAACTGCTCTAGAGCATCCACACAGCCTTCTGCACGACGGATACTTTGTGAAGAGGTAAGATGCCCATTGCCGTCGTACAGTTCAACTTGTACATTTACAAGAAGCACATCCGATGTTAAGCTTAAGCAACGAACATTAGAGTCATCGGTGTGAGTTTTGTTAGGTGCTGGTAGTTTGCAGCGGATTGTGATGTCTTCCATCCGAGCATTCGCCCCCAACAAGGTGATACGATGCATTGTCCGTCTATCTCTAGAAGCAGCCTTTGTACAGCCTTCCAAGGCGTAAATGCGTGTATGGTCTGCAAGCGAAACCAAGGATCGTGTAAAGACTTCCGAGCCACCACTGTCCTCGTGGGCAGCTAGGTGTGTCATCTGCATTTTACACGGCAGTTGCACCAGTGTCACACCATCATACACCACAAAGAGGTGACGAGGGCCAACGGCTCTGTGGGACGGCCACACAGCCACCAGTCCGTAGTACCGAGACACCCACGTCATGGTGTCAACTGGGATCTCCAGGTGCACGTTGTGACTCAATTGCGGCACACACACGCCGATAAGAACAAAAGACAGCAAAAATGGCACAAGGCCATTCTTCCATGAAGTGGCGCCACTAACCATGGCAAGCCCCAGAGCCACGGTGGTAATATAGAAAGTCAGCCCCGTACGCAAGGAGACCATCCAAAAGACGGGAAAACACAGACAGCCCAGGTAATGCCATTGGATGCAGTGAATCTTTGCCCCGACGCGGTACACCACGGCGACAACAACTTGAATGAAGAACACAAGCATCAGAGCCGCCGCGCCGGCACCAAAGATGGGAAGCAATTCTTTTTCTTGAAGTACAAACGGCATGTTTTTGTTTTCCTCTCTCTTGTGTGTTGGTGCTTCCCCACCCTCTCCCCCGCCCTCCGCGCCCCACTCCCACGGCCAGGAAGAAACTCAGCCCAATGCAAACAAAACAACAAACAATAAACAAGACGGACAAACACAAGAGGAAATAACATACACTCATTATATATATATATATATATATATATATATGTGCACATACAGTTTAAAACAAAAAAATGCCTTACACCCATTTTTCACATGGATACAACATCCAGACGCATTTTCAAGTATCCCAAGTAAGGGGTGGGGTTAAATATGTGTAAATAAACTTGCTGCGGTCATTCATGCGCGCGTGCACATGAAGAAACAATACATAAAAAAAAAAACAGCTAAAATGTACCTGCTATTGTAGTTTATTCTTTAAAACAAAAACAAAAAAAAGGAACGATCCACGTCTTACCGTTTACCGCCACACCAGAAGGAAGTAAAAAGGGGGGAAAAAAAAAGAATGTATGCTCCCCTGCGTTGCCTTTGTGGCCGAAAAAGTCTCCTCTCCGTCCACGTCCATCCAACAGCAGGGAAAAGCCCAAGAGGACTGTTGACGACCCACTCCAAAGAGAGTCGGTCATGAAAAGTGGAGCTTCCAAACACAAAAAAAAAAAAACACCCGGAACCCTGCCTGCGCGCAGGGCAGCTGAGGGATTGGGCGGGGCGGGTTTTCAAGGCACATGAGTTGCAATGAGAGACACGTAATGCCAAATCTGAAAGACTATACCCATTTGAGATGTTTTTGCCAGCCTCATGTTGGGCCGCACCCTCCCTCTCCCACGCCCCCTCAAACCAAAAACAGTAAGAGAAGGAACAGAAGAAAAAAAATTATCAGCACCTGTCATGGGTTCGGAAGCTCCTTTCCGTCTTGTTGAGGTTTGCACGCTTTCTTCTCACAACCGCACCTGCTCACGTCACAAGGGTAAAACTCCTTGAATTTCTAATCCTGTTGAATCTGAAAACAGTGTCGACTTCGTAAAACCGTTGTTGGAAGTAGAGAAAATGTCGTTGCCGCCTTGCACATTCAGGTGGCAATCTACTTCCCGGGTGATGCGTTCTACCTCGGCGGAAACTTTGTTTTGAATACTCTGCCGGCGCTCTTCTGCCCGCCTCGTCTTGGATGACGGACTCACCACCAGATCTTCGGATCCGCCCTTGCCACGCACAGTAATTATGCCGTTGGTAGCTGCACACACGCGCTGTTTGATAATCTCCCATTGAGCCTTGTTCTCCAGGCGCCAATGGATAACGTCCGACGCAGGCACCTCAACGGGAATCCCTTCGGCGCGGACAAAAGACAAGTTAGAGCCTTGCACACCACGATCCTGGGAAGAAGACATGGAGGCGTTTTTGCCACTTGCAATTCCACATAATAGCTCCGCAAAACTACGGTAGTCCACGCCAATGATGGCAATAATAATTTGGAATTGATTCATCTCGCTGTTCATTAACTGGCGTATCAAGACAATCAAAACTTCGACCTCGTCCGCGTCGCAGTTGGAGGCTGCAGTTATCAATCGACGCAACAACACCCGTATCGTGTTAGGTTCGTGCCCATTCGCCCCCAACAGCTGCGTCAGCGTAGCAGACTCCAGCTTGGAAAACTTCTTGGTCGATGCCAGGAGCGCAAAGCTGAGAGTCTTCCGCGTTTCAAAAAGACGACTTGAATGTTTCATCTTTGTGCGAACCCAGGCGTTGTTGTTGACGGCGATGGCGCTGATGGCATTCACGATCTCCAACCCCAACCCCAGTGGGAGTGGGCATAACACCTCCTCGATGCCGTGAAAGAGGTAGTCCAAATTCTTGATGATGTTGGCTGCCTCGCCTCGGTCTGGTATCTCACACCGACTTTTCGTGAAGTGAGAGACGATTTCCTCCAGCACAAGACGGGTAAAAAAGGAAGAAAGCCCCGCTTGTCGAAGCGTACGCACGATTCCTGCCTTGCTGTTGCGGCTCAGGTCCAAAATGGCCAGATTGCGTACTATGTTCCGTACTCGCTGCTGCACTGCAGCCGCGTGCTTCTTTGCAGGCTTGGATATCATGTCGTTGCCACTGCTGCTCGCGGGGTTAATCACGGGCCTCACCGCACCCCACAACCACAGCAACCAAGGGAATGGAAGCAGCATTTCACCGTTTTCAGTGCGATCAACAATTTTCTCTAGATGCGCAAGAACACGAAGTGTAATGCTCTCTGTGGATTCTTCCTGCATGGGAGAGAAAATGGAGACTCTACTCGCGCTGTCTGCCGTGTTGTTGGCCCCTCGGTCCTCATGCGCTGCGGTATTTGACTCGGAGTTACCTTCAGAAGAGGGATGAGAAACTTCCGTGGTGGAACCAACCGTTAAGGAGCTTGCGCCAACGCCACACAGCAAACGCGCCAGCAACGTCAAGAGTGTCTGAATCGCCTGTGGCACCTGAAGGGTAACGTGAGTGTTTCCCCTGGATCGCGGGCATCGATGAGTGTCATCAAGAAGAGTCCGTGTATCATTTCCGTATGTAAGCTCGTGAGAGACATCAAAGCTATACTCCCGTCGTGTCACGCGCAACTCCGGTGACACTAAGCCAGGCATATAACCTTGTAGAGTCTGTGTTTGACCAGCAGTTACCGTGGGATAATGACTATGTTCTGGCTGCTTTGTGGAACGTCGCCTTGGCTTCGATGAGCCAGCCTGCTGCAGATGCAACATCACCGCATCCCCCTCCATGGTCGGCTGGAAGGCATCAAAGGCCATCTGAAAAAGACAATTAAAACTTGCTATGCCGATGGGAACCGCAGAAGACGCAGGACCTGTCATTACCGCTCCAAGCACCTCATAGCCATGGGATTTCATGAAATGTTCACGAAACTTTTTGTTGGTATGGTGTATAAGAGATATGATGCGTAGGGCAAAGATACGCACCGCCTCATCGCTGTGATTTTTACCACCGACAAGCCTAATAAGGAAGGAGACGCCGGTGTTACCAAAGGCACCCCAAATAAGGTCACACATGGCGGTGTTGGTGAGGGCGATGTCAAACAACATGCGCAGCATCTCCGCCTTCACAAAATCCGCCGTTCTAGAAGCTGAGGTGGAGAGGAGAAACAATAGCGTTTGCTCCATTTCGCGTGGCTCTTTGCATAGCCGCTCCACAAGAGCAATAACGCACTCTACGCACTCCGGGGGAAGCCGCATACTTAGCGCTAAGATCCGCTCAAATCGTCCAGGCACCGCCCGAAAGATGGCAACATTCTCCGGAAGCAACAAGGCGTCGCTCAGCTCGCGCAAGATGCACATAATAGCTGTAGGATGGAGACCCTCCCGATTAACGACGTCAAGTAGCAGTGACAGCATGTCTTGTGTGGTGTGGTGAGTCCGCATCACCTTGCCACCCCCACGTGGAATTGTGCTGGAGATCAAAATGGCCGGGACCTCAATGGGGATGTTTTCCCATGTGTGCATTTGCTCTCGCAACCGCACAATCGCACCATCAACCACCATGCAATTCAGCTCCTTCTCCGTCGTTGTTAGCTTCATCGCAGTGCAGATAAACTGTACACACAGCTTGGCAACCGTGCCAAAACTTGTGGAACATTTTTTGGCCACCGTGAGGGTCCGCAGCGCCCAGTTCACCACATTTTCACACAAAAACATTCTGTGCATGTCCAAGGGGCTGCATGCCACGACGCTATGCACCGACACCCCCTCGTTCCTCCCCGCCAAAGTTCCCGTCACGCCAACGCTAAAGTCGTTTGTGCCTGAAACTATTTGGCTCTCCACACTCAGGAATGGGTGACACGAGATGGGGAGCTCCCGTGCGGGACGTGGGCCTGCCTGGTATATGCGCTGCAACTCTCTCTCTGAAAGAGTCCCATCAAACAGTTCAATGCTCGCAATAAAACCAAAAAAGGATGACTCGTCACGGTAACCCCCAAACGCAAACTGCAGTCGATCTTTTTTTGAGGGGCTCTTAGGGAACGAAATGGACAAGCTGTTCTCAGTCCGCCGTCCATCAATAAAAAGCGAGAACCCCGCCATGTTGTGGGTGAACGCCACGTGTGTCCAGGCATCTGCCGGAAATGAGGTGTCGGGAATGCTAGACAGCGTCACTTCAGTGGAATGCCGTGTGCGCATCATCAGACTGCAGGAACAACCGTCTGCCATGATCATCAACGTCACGGAGCTCCCGGATGCGCCGTCCGTGAAGGAAAATAGATGGCTCCCTTCCAGCCAAACGCATTTTGGATGTATCCATGCAGCGAAGCTGTAGCCGTTGAAACGGGTGGTGGGGAACCGGTCCACCATACAAACCACACTGCCACTACCGGGAAAAAATAGGACGCCGCGAGGAAGCCCCGCACAGGTAAAAACATGTAACAGGGAACCAACAATGTCGGCATCAATTGAGGAGGTCTGTCGAACGCACATCTCCTCCACGACGTACAATAGCTTTGGCAGCATCGTTTCAGAGACGTACAACGATGACAAGAGGCTCATTAAGGCCACTGTGGTTTGAACTGTATACGCATTTAAGGCGTGGTGTGGAGAACAGGGCCTTCCAAGAATCATCACCTCATGGGAAAAGACGCTGGGCTGCGAGCACGTGATACGTGCAATAAGTGCCTCGATGATTGGGCTATCTGCAAGTACTTCGGCATTTCTCGGTGTTGCCACACAGAGTAGCATGAGTGTGGCAATAACGCTGCGGTAAATGACGTCTGAGGTGGTGCTCTGTGCATCCATGCAGAGAAGCGCCTCGGCAATAAAACTGCACCCCTCCCCAGACAAAACGCAGTTAAACAACAGGGATGCCAGGCGCCACACGTAGGCTGATCCTCCGGCCAAGAGGGTGTCCCAGTGGGCGGATAAAAACTCATAGCTTCTAGCCGCACGGCTGACGCCCGGGGAAGACAACGATGACGGCGACAGCGGTGGGAAGCCAGTGTTATTCAACATATTTCGACCCCCAACCTTGTGCATGGCATCACCGTTTAGTGCCTGGCGCCGCAGCGAGAAGCTGTCACTCGTTGCTACCTCCACCAGAAATTCAATGAGCTCCGAGGCCCAGGCTTGAGCCCCCTCCACGACAAGCGTGGCGTCTTTTCCAGGAACGTTCGTAGGGACGGGTAGTGACACTTCAACCCTTGACACGTTTGAGGCCGCAGTAACCCACAGTGTCACAAGCTCGTCGCGGTGCTTCCCCATACACAACTCCTTGTTGGCTGCACACCCACGCACCATGCCGCTTACTAAACCAAAGTACGTCACCAATGCGGTGAACTGTATCCCGCCGCCCACCCCGCCGGCGGTTCCCCTAGCAACTACTAAACACGTGCGAATCAGTCCGGATAAAAAGCCGTCGCGTCCGCACCTAAGACGGGCGCTATCGGTAGGGACTTTGTGCACGTCTGCCCGACGAAACGCAGCCGCAAGTAAGCATGCCAGCTGTACCTGTTGTGGAGTCACCACAGATTCGATTTTGGCATCCTCAGGAAACAGCAAAAGTTTCTGGCTTTCAGCAAGAGCTTCCTCAAGAAGCTGGGAGTTGTATCCAGCGATCTCCAACAAGACGGAGGCAAGCGTGTCTCGCGTCCGTTTACTCATAGGAACCTGCATCAAGTACTTTGTCATGTAAGTTACTAACTTAAACCGAATAATAAGCTCAGATGAATTGTCCCCGTTGGTCCGAATAAGAATTTTCAGCGCCTCCATGCAAGTTAGCATGGAAGATTCTCCAATGAACTTCCGTATCACATTCTTCTTATCTAATGAAGACTCTACTAATGCGTGATTTGGAGCACCGTCATTGCCTGCCACATGATCGTTTCCTTCGTTGCAGGCGTTGCCCGTCGTGTATTGCTCCAACTGAGCAATCAGCTCTCCCTGAAACTCTGCCGCCCACATGTCTAATAACGTTGTGTCTGAGACAATTCGTTTTTTCCGCCACGACTCCTCTATTGATTTGGAGGTGGAGATGAGCTCCTGCTGCGCCACCGTGATGGGGTCGAGACTAGGCTTTATCAACCGTCGCAGGCTGGTAACCGCCTGCTGGGCAAAGTCGGCCAACTGTTCTTTGGAAAGCGTACCTTGCATTGCCCGCAACTCTTTCTACAAAGTTCGAAATGGTGCAGAAACTAGTAAATACTACTACCTCTCTCCGGGTCCAAATCCTACACGGACCGGAAAATCAAAACAACTTAACAAGTCGTGGAGTCAATAAAGGCAGAGATATGGGGAAGTAAACATGCAGTGCAAACAATGTGTGGCAAGAGCTCCACCGCTAAGACAGCAAAAGAAGACACAGGAAAAACAACAAGAATCACAAAAACAAAAGTAAGAAAAAAAAATAGAAAGAACAAAAACAAACAAAGACGCATACATACATACATGCGTCTGTGTGTGTGTGTGTGTGTGTGCGTGTGTGTGTATTCGGCACAACACAGTCGATAGCAGTGGCCAATCTACACGCCTCCCCACTCTCCGGAGGCCACTTCGCATCTACGCGAGGAGAAGAGGAGAGGGGGGATGAGCGCAAAGGTAAATTATAATCAAACAGGTTCAAATATATATTTACGGCCACATTGGGAAAACTTTTTTTGTAAAAAATTTTATTCTATATTTTCCCTTTTTTTTTCTTTTTGTTCTCTATTAAGGGGAAGGCGTATTCTCTAGGATTGAATGCAGCAGCTCCGGGACCACATCTTCTTCTTCTTCGTTGCTCCTGTCACAGGAGCGTTTTCATTGGCGGCACTTCGTGACCCATGCATGGCTTGGAGCAAGCTGGAACGCTCCACGGCAGCAGCGCTGTCGTCTTCCACAACACCACTCGTGTTGCCCAAGGCGTGTGAGTCAGTCAAAGAAACTTCCTTCAATTGTTCTAGCGGAAGCTCCGGTAGGGTTCTCATCGCGCTACTTTCGAGGAACCGGCTCGTACGTAGAACCGATGGGACACTCCCCTCCCGTGGCTCCATCAGGGTTCCCCCCCTAGTGGCTGGCGGCAGCATAGTGCGTGAAACTTCAGGGAACGGTAACGAAGGAAGTGTTTGCATCTCGAGCGGCTTTTCAACATCCTCGGTGTATAACGAGGCTGCATTTGCGGTTTCACTGCGCAGCACAGATGTGTCTAAGTGTGTGGGACGCTGTTCACAGAGTGGTTGTGATTGCTGCAGGCTCGTAGCTCGCGTGACAGGACCGCTTGTGCATGGCGATGGCACAGTCGTTTTGGGCGGGGGAAAGGATGGCGCTACCCTATTGGTGTCATCCGATGCGTCGTCCGGCGCCGTTGGGGCAGGTGATGTTTGCCGTCTCGTTTGCAGCGCACTCAGACGCCCACGCAAAGGGCGGCTTTCGCCCCCAACACTGCCTCGCACGGTCCCTTGTGACTTTGATCCCTCCTTGCTCCTTCTGCAACTGCTTGTAGAGTCACGTAAAACACTCTTCCCGTCACCGTCTTTTAAATTCGTTGCAAGTTGTTGCGGGTGAGAGTCGCCAGCCTCAGCTGCCGGCTGAGGAGCCACGGTGCGTGTCCCCCCCTGGCGTGTAGGCGGGCACATCACAGGGCAACGCGTCCCTGGAAAGGTAGCGCAACAAAATCAACTGCACCGCATAGAGCTGAATGACGTCTGTGTGGGTTGGGTCCAGCAACTCTATGATGGCCTCCACCTCACTAGAGGTCATGTCCGTCGCGGCCGACGAGGTCAGGATGGTGCGAAACTCACCCCGGTTCAAGGTGTCAGAGCCGCGGACGTCAAAGGCGTGCTTGCATTGCGCAATGGTCTCGGAGTTCAGCGCCCGCGTCGCCTCGAGTGCGGAACAGAGTTGTAGAAATAATGGGAGCGTCAGGCGTTTGCTGCGTCCAGCGACGTCTAGCAGGCAGCTGCGCAGAAAGGGCGAGGTGGGGTAGTACCCCATCTCCCGTGCGGCAGTCATGATGAAACAGGAGGGGATGTGCGCCTCCCCGTCATCGGAAAGCACGCGGAGAGTGAAGAAGACGTCCTCCGCAAGCTCCTCGTCCACATCCAGCGACGCTACAAGACTCATCTGCAAAAGAAAAAAGAAACGAAGCATGGAAGCACACAAAATACACTGAAAAGCTGCTGGAACAAATAAAACAAGAAGGACAAGCAACAACAACAAAAAAAAGGACGGGATATATATATATATATATATATTATATATATTCATGTCAACTCATTTCGCACTCTTTTATGTTTGACGGCCAGGATGCGCTCCAGCAGTGATTGAAAGCTATCCAACATGCTCTGCTGGTCCTCTGCAACCCTCGTCCCCCAGCCCTCAATGGAGGCCCGCAGGGTCTGTAAAGAGGTCACAGTACTCTCGGATGACCACTGCTGAATTTCTTCCAGCGCCGCCGCGCGGAAAGCAGCCTCCTCCAGCAACGGCGCAAGCAGCGAAAACCGGCGTGTCAACTTCGCCAGTCTTGCACAAATATCATCTGTCTCAAAGAGATCCCTGACAAAGTCATGCAACTCCCTCAACGAGGTGTCCTTGTCCCACTCCACCGCACGGGAACAGATCTTGTCTACCACACCGGGCCAGTCCTCCAACTGCTGGAGCAGACTGTCGGTGCGACCCAACAGCTCTTCCACACACTCCTTCTGCAGGAGGCGTTGCATCGTGCGTGCAAACTCCCTCGCAGCTACACGTTCCTCAGGGGTTTCGTGGCACATCAGCCAGTCGCGTAAAAAGTGGCATTGTGACTTCATTCGATCAATCTCGTACCGTGTCCCCGATGAGGAGGAAAAAGGCAACGGGCCCAGCGGCAGTGCATCTGGGGGACAGACCAAACGGCACGGTTTTGCTGGCGATGAAACCAATTTGTCAACCCCCTCTTCTGGTGTGAGCGCTCTCAGCTGCGGAGGCACATCGACGCGGAGCGCAGTGCGGAGCTGCCGCAGAGCATCCTCGTGCTCGAAAGAGCCGTACAGAACACCACCGTCATCGTGCTCTTCCAAGGTCGGCAAAGGCGGTGACACCTCCGCCTCCCCGCGGTAAAGGCTACCGTATCCCTCGTAGACACAGTCGTCAGGGATGGTGACGCGCTGCGCCATCGCGGCCTCCCTGCCTGTTCACTTTCCCTTAAAAATTAAAAGCACATACGAAATGACGCTCACGTTTAAGGGCCACAACTGCATTCACATGTAGAGCATAGTACGTTATCCTCCTTTCTTTATATTATATATATTATACATAATATGTTATGGTCGTTTGTCTTTATTTCTCGTTTGTAACAATCTCACACCCACTCCCGCGCGCCCGCCCTCTACCCTGCTTCCGCCCCTCACAAAACGTCTTTCTATCCCCCTTACTGTGTCTAAAATGCGCTCCCCCTCTTGTCAGTCACGACGCTGAGGACAAAATGCGACGCCCTTCTACCTCTGAGGCAGAATAGCGTACCACTCTGAGCGGAAATTGTCCTCCAATTCATGCGTCATGGTTAGCGTGGCCTTATAATCCCGCCCTGTATACTGCCGAAACATTTGTAGCACCTCATCCATGGCCACCATGAATGGCGGACCCCAGTCGCGCTGTTGCGGTATTTTACGCACCATCCGCTCATACGCAACCCCCGCGCTTGGACGGAGAACGCTTGTCACCGTCTTCACGTACACGCTGCGGAGGTCGGGCGGGATCGCCATCATAGCAGCGCGGTCAAACACAAAATCCACCGCTGTTTCGCTGTACTCTTTGAAAAGGGGCAACTCCATGAGATCTCCATAAAAAAGTGTGATGCGGCAGTCACCCGTGGTGACCTCGTGCATCTCCACCTTTCCTGTAGACCCCTTTGCCGAGTCCAACTTTGTCGTTTTAAAAATTAAATCTGGAAAGTTCACTTGCCGCTGTCGTGTTAACGCCTCGTCGCTCAAGTCCACACCAATAACGTGCCTTGCCCGGCAGCTAACTATGTACGGTAGGATCGTAGAGTCACCACACAGGGGAACAAAGACTGTTTTCCCCTCCAAAAAACGGATCACAGCTTCATGCAAATCCCCCTTTTGACTCCCCTCCTCGGTCTGCTCCTCCGCAGGAAGGAGACCCGCGCAACGCAAGAATGCGCTCAAAACGTGTGTAAAGGAAGCCAGACGTTCCCACTCCTTCCACCCCGTCTTCTGCGTTGCCCAAGCTGTGTTCCAAAACTCCTTCACGTTGTGGGAGGCAAGATGCATGGTCACAAGTACGGAGTTGAACACAAGAAAAATGTCGCGCTCTGATTTATTCTTTTTTTATTTTGTATTGGCAAAAAAACATATACAATATATATATAAAGTGTATATGTGAACTTTCGTTGTTATTTTGTTTGACTCCTTTCTTGTCCTTATCACTGTCTAAGACGGTGTGTTGCTTTCGGCCCTCCCCGTCACCGCGAATTGGCGTGACTTCACCACAAGAAAGAGAAAGACCCCTTTGCGCACACAACGATGTTGCAACCTCACCCCACGCAGCCCGCGCGTAAAAAAACAGCAAAAAAACATAGACGTAGCAGCAGCAACAGCGGTGGTGCCCCCTTTTCCCTGCTCAGTTACCCTCCTTGCTCATTGCTTTTCTCTCCTCTAAGCCACGTTGGGCGCATCATGGTAAAAACCGCACACAGCAAGCGGCGGAAGCGCCCAGCAAAGCGCATCAAATAGACTCACACAAAAAACAAAACAACGATATGCTCGTTCGAACGCACGTTTCCCTTCAGCTTCTGCTAACAGTCCCACAAGTTTTCTCCTCCGGCCGCTCAGGGCCCTCCTCCAACTGAGTTCGCCTCGCACATAAGAGTTTGAAAAGTGCACCGCGCGCAATCGCGTCTGCACAAGTAAGCCGAATAAGTTGCTGACGCGTCGTGCCCCTCGCCTGCACAATGCAGTCAAGTGCACACGCGCTCTCGTCCTCGTTCAGCTCGTAGAGCTCTCCGATAACCAACTCAACAGCTGCGACACCATCCGGTCGAAGGAGGACCAAATGGGAGGGAAACAGTTTCACTGTCGCCTGCGCGCACACCTCCACAAGACTGGCCCCGGGTTCCAGCTGCGCATACACGGCAGCAGGGACGGCAAGCTCGATGACACGCAGAGAGGCCATCTCCTGTGGGGTCAACCTCTCATCGTCATCCGTCTCCTTCGTCTCTGGAACTGCAGACGGCAGAGACAGCGATGGCTGGTTTGTAGGCAAAAGGTTTTCATTTGAGGAGCGTGAAGACGGGGACGAAAGCACAGGAGATACCAAGTCCACGTCCTCACGCTCCACTGTGACGCCTAACCTTTTTCCGGGGTCATCCCCCTGGCCCGAGTGTACTAGAGGACCGGCAGAAGATGCGCCCTGCCGCTGCTGCTGCTGTTGTTGTGGCTCTCCTCCCCCGCCGCCTTGCCGACAGCGTTGCTCCTCAACGTGTTGGTCACCATTGTAGCGATACTGCAGTGTGTCATTTTGCCTCCTGATAGCCGCCAGCTTCCTTTCGATTTCCGCGATTGCACCCGCGCCGTTGCGCCCCTCCGCGGAGGGGGCACATAATGAGGGCGACGATATCGTCATTTCCGCGGACGGTGGGACCCTCACCACCTCCGGGCGCCGCTGCGACTCCACCGGGGCGTACGCCCTGCGCAACTGCACGTAAAAGGAGGAGTAGCTTGGCGACTGCACCGGCCCCCCACTGCTGCACTGCTGCATGCACCCAACGCAATCTTGCAAAAACGGCGGGGAGAAAGCGGTGACCACATAAAAAGAAAAAAGGACAGTTGAAGCAGGCACCTTGAATGCTCGACGTTACTACCTCCTCTCCTCGACATCTCTTGTCCCACACTCGCTCAACTGATTGTCATTCACAACTATTTTTTTTTCTTTTTTGTGTGTGTGGAAAAGGTATATAAACGACATTCACGTCACTACGGCGCAAAACTACTCACAGCAACTCCCTGTGTCTGGCAATATGTTCATCCCGCAACCGAAGGGCCTCCTGTAGGAGACTTATCTGCTCTGTCTGCGCCTTCAGGGTGTTGTCTTTGGTGGCAAGGGCCACCAAAACTCTCTCGTTGATGCTCGTAAGCTCCGCAGCGTGTTTCTGCTCTATGCTCTTCAGCTCTAAGGTGGCTGCATTCTTCGCCGCCTCCAACTCTATGTTCACCTTCTCCACCTCATGCTGCATGCCACCCACCTCCTCCACGTGCTTAATTTCAAACTGACGAAGTTTTCGCTGCCACTCCGTGTCAAGTGCATGCAGCCGCGTATCGCATTCGCCGCGAATTCTGTCCTCAATCGCCTTCACTCGTTGGTCAGTCAACTCCGCAGCCTCCCGCAGGCGCACAATATCCTCCTCTTTTCTATTCATTGCGTCAAGCGCACTCTTCAACTGTTCCTGCAACAGCTCTGCCTCGACCCGCAGCCGCTCATTTTCGCGGTTTATCTGGGCAACTCTGTCACGTAGCAGGTCATCATTGTTGTGCGACTCCGTAAGGTATTTTATATGCGTCTGCTCTAGTCGTTGCGTCGCCGCCGCCACTGCTGCATCTCGCTCCGCCTCACACTTGCGACGCAGTTCCTCCTCCTTCACCGCCAAGTAGTGTTTGTTGTGCACCTGTGTCTCCTTTTCCCTGCAGCTAAACTCCCACATAAGCTTCTCCTTCAGTTCGCCTACAATCTTGTTGGAGTTGGTCGTGATTTCTGTAACCTCCTTCGCCACCGCGTCGTGAAACGTCGCTTTCTCCGTTGCGGCGGTCTCCTTCAGTGCAAAAAGCTCCTTCTGCAGTCGCGATATTTCACGCTGCATGACACTCTTCTGCTCCTCAAAGAAGACTTCCATGTCCTCCGTTTTCTGCCTGGCCGCACGGCGTTCTTCCTCTAGCTGGCGATTCACCCGCTCAACCTCCTCCCTAAGGCGGTCACGGAACTCGTTCTGCTCGCGCGTCATCATGGCGTTGGCGTCGCGCGCCAATTTCGCCTTCACCTCCTCCACCGTCGCCTCTTTCGAGGCAATGACCTCGTCCCGCTGGCGAAGCTCGTTTTCAAACTCCTCCCGCATCCGCGCCTTCTCAGCCTTATGGCGGTTCAGCAAGAGCACGATGTCGGGCTCCAGCGACTGTAGCGTACTCTCCTTGATTCGCTTAGCCTCCGAGATACGCCACTTTTTCGCGGGCGGCTTTCTCCTGCGCCTGCCACCGGGTCTTCAGCTGAGCGATGGCAGCCGCGTTGGCGGACTCCAACCTTGCCACCTCCTCCTCCCGCCTCAACATTTCCTGCCTCAGCTGCGTTGTGAGCGACTCTACTGCCTTAGTGAGCTGTGTCTTTTCCCGCTGCAGGCCTTGCATCACCCGGCGATGCTCCTCCTCCGACTCGCGCAACCCGTTGCGCAGCGACTGCAGCTCGGTGCGATTGGCAGCCTGCACCTTCTCCACATGTTCCGCTTCCCGCTGACGCGCCACGCCCAGCCGCGCCTTCAGCTCCTCATTCTCCGCCCGAAGCTCATCGTTGCTGAACCGCAACGCTTCTATTTTGGCTTTGATGCCGTGGTAAACGCCAACGTAGGGATCAAGCGACCCACCAATCACATACGACGTGAGACAAGAAGCGGAGGCACTCGATAGTAACTGTTGTTGTTGTTGTTGCTGCCGCTGTGAAGGCGGATTCTGTGGCAGTGCGGCGGAAGTAAGCTTGTTGTGCGACAACTGGTTTAGCAATGTCGATGGGGCAAGCGAGATGCCCTCGGAAGCATACGAATCAGGCAGCATCTCCTCATGTGGGGTGAGGGACGCGGCCAAGCGCGGCCGTGTCGCGACAGCCTCGTCCAGATAGGAAAGAATATTCGCCACCTTCGCCTCGTTGAGCTCTCTAAGGTCGGAGCCTGCGCTGCTGCTCGCCGCTGCGCCCCTTGCACGTGGGGCCACATCCATCGTCACACGGAGCTCAAGACGACGGCAGCACAACGTCTCCTCTGCCTCCTCAGGGATGAACACCGTATCCCCCCTGTTCAGCACAAGGCAACGCCAACTAGAACAAAACAACAAAAACAAAAGTGAAAGCATAACTCACAACATGCAGGCAAGCACTTTATCAAAATGCATGCAGTCATGGATACATATATCAATATGTGCACATAAACAGTTGCTCGCATTAAAAAAGAGGGTCACCACAAAAGGAGCACGCATACGCACACAGAGCAAAGGAACAGAAAAAGAGAAAAAAAAAAATCAATAATTTGATCCGCTTCGCAATGGAGCCTTCGGCATGTAAATTATTCTAGTTTCATGTGTCATGTCCAGATCATTCATATATATATATAATCTGCAGATGTTCACTTCAGTGCAGCCATGAGGGAGGAAACACAAGCGACATGTCGCAATGTCGGTCGTCCATGAGGGCAATTCCACGGCTGCTCCAGATTGCCCAGTCGACTCACAACGGAGCTCATGGTCTTCTCAGAAAGAGCCGTGCCTATCATGATGCTGGAACGGCATGCTTTTGTTGCCATGGAGTGCCACACGCTGCGCAGCGGCTTGGTGATGGTACCATAAAGGACAAGCTGCTGCACTAATTCAATGATGTCGTGGGGTCCCACCACCTCGTACTGGAGCATGGGCACCGACGATACAAGCAGCTTGCTGACATCCTCGCCACGCCTCACAATAAAGCCATGCTGTCGGAGCTCATCACTGTGCAGCAACGCCAGATCTACATCATGTGGATTCATTGGCACTGGAACAGCCGTCAAGAGCGGTTGAGGTCGGGCCGTGTACTGACTCATCAAGCACTCGTAGTTAAACTTCTCATCCGCGGCATGCTGATCAATCACGAATACGTCATCTCCAAGCGACGCCAGAATAAATCCATGGTTGAACTGTCCGTGTATAATCATCTCCTTGAAGGAACTCTTGTCCAGACGCATTGCAAGTTGATTCTCCGTCTGCTCCGTGAGGGAGCCAAATTTTTGTCGCTCATTTCCCGTAGCTCGAGGGGGTGTCGACGCCACTTTACTGGAGGAAGGCAGCAAGGCCTGCATCGACATGTCCTTGAGTGAGGGAAAGCGCATGCTTGTCCGTGGGCCTGCTGGTCGAGGCTGGTTTGCCTCATCCGTTAAGAACACAGGCGACGTGCTGCCGTCCTCCACCTCCATCTGAGTCACGTCATCTGACGAGTCCACTGGACGCTCACGCTTGCAGGTCCGCGACAAAGAGGCATCCTCACTGCCTGAGCCTCTTGCCGCCGGCGAGCAGGGGGAAGAGGAGGAGCCGCTGCCACTTAAAATATCGTCACCCTCAGTATTATTGGTGTCTGTTCCCGCAGACGAACCACTCGCCGCCTCCGTTTGGGTGTAGTAGAGAGAGGAACGCATTTTCGAGATCTCGACCGACTCAGAAGCCGACAGTTTTTCAGCAGACGGAGGCGTCAACGGCGGGTCCGCTCGCCGATACGTGAACTGCGTGAGGGAGGCGGCAGAAACTGGGGTTCGCGTAAGTTTTGAATCCTGTGTAGCCTTCCAGTCCGCCCGTCGTGTCTGTTCAATACGAATGTGCCGGTCCACTCTAATGCCATCAGTTGATGCCTGAAATGCCGCGAGGGCCCGCGCATGGACCTCCTCCATATGTTTGCTTTCTTCCATAAAGAGCACCTTGCGCTTATTGGGCGCCAAATTCACGTCATAGGGAACACTCCTGTCGCATGCGAGGTGGACAAAAAAAACTGGGTGCACACGCTGAGACGCACTGGGCTGGCATTCGGCATATGCGTCATTGATGCCACGCGATATCATCGGCAGATCCACAAGCCTGCCGTCCAGTGCCAGAACCTGCATGTCAGGTGAGAGGCACCCAGCGTCAATCTTTGAGACAAAACCGGTGAGGGTGCCAAATGACATCTCCCACTCCACGCGGCTCATGTTGGCGAGGTAGCGGCCACCGTAGGCTTCTGCCAATGCACGCTGGATGTCGTTTGTCCCCGTCAACGACACCAGAGTCGTCGGCGCACTCCGCGGGCCTAAGCAATGCGTCACTAGCAGTCGTACGTGGGGATGTCGAAAGTGCGTACTGCTTCATGAGCAACGTGGCGGCAAGCAGTTGTTTTTTTTTGTTCTTGTTAAATTCTCTATGACGCACAGGAAGGGCTCGGAAGAGCTTCTCCACGACGACGGTGGTACCCGGATCGTTGCGCTCCCGTGACGCCCTCACACTGGTGCGGTGCGCCTTGATGTCATATGTAATGCAGAGAGTGACGGGCTGGCTCGCCGCCGTCATGGTCTGAATTGTCACCTCGCTCAGGTTGGCGAGGCAGTGCAGCGCTTCCCCTCGAAACCCCAGCAAGTCCCGCACCTGCGCCGCCGACGCATCGTCATCCCCCTGCTGATGCTTCGTCGTGGCCCTACACGCGAGAAGGGGCAAACAAACATCTTCTTTTACATTCCCCTCGCTGGTTAACAAATCGCTCAGCGCCATACCACTGCCGTCGTCATCCACTACAATCCTTTCCAGGCCGTAGTCCTCAAGGCGCACAGTGACGGTGTGAGCCCCGGCGTCCAGGCTGTTTTCCACCAACTCCTTCAGGACGCTAGGGAGACCTGTAATGACCTGCCCCGCACTCAACCTTCGTGCGCTCGCCGCATCCAAACGTTGTATCATCCCCTCGACAACACCACTGTTTCCGTTCTCTATGTCGGTGCGCTACTCCTCTGCCACGCCCGTGTGCCTTCACAACAAAAAAAAAAATGCGTCTATGAAAAACGACCCTTCACCCCCCGCGCCCCTCCTGCCTAGAGGTTTAGTGAAGCATGTGCACGCCCTCAGTACGTCAGAAGAAAAAGACGTCCACAAAGAGAGAAAGAGGGAAAAGGAAGGAAAAAAAAAACAAGTCATGACTTGGGTGTAGCACAATCGGTGGCGGAGAACCAACACCAGCCCTCCGAAGCACCGCCCAATGACGGTAAAGGAGGAGGCACTGAGGGAAGCCCCAGGAGCAATCATGGCAAGGTATAAAGTAAAAAAAAAGTAGAGAAAACAAAGTAGTTAAAGCAGTGTTTCTTGGCGAGACAACCCTTTGGGGGCTAAGAAACTCCCTTATCCCTTGCCCCTCGCTAGTCCATCTGCTGCATGGCCTTCTCGGCGGCGGTCACCTTGCCCTTGCCCTTGTCGCTCTTGGTGCTGCGATCCTTGCGCTCAAGGATGGCCTTGCGGTTGTGGTTGAGCTTCAGCTTCGTGACCTCCACGTTGGAGGGATGCACGCCGACCGGAACGGTGGTCCCATTCGCCTTCTCCCGGTTGACCTTGTCGATGTGAATCACCCAACGGAGGCGGTAGCACGCCGTGATCTTCCCCTCGCGTCCCTTGTACGCGCCACGCTTCACACGCACCTCGTCGTCCTTGTGGACAGGCATGGCACGCACGTTGTACTTGGCGCGAAGCTCCTTCGACAGCGGGGCGCTCATGAGGATGCGGCGCACATGGCTCGGCGCCTGAAAGTGAGCGCGGCGGGCCTTGCGACGGCTTCCACACTTGATGCTGGCCATTATCAACCTAGAAGCACTGCTCCGTGGGGCGATGGAAATACGTGACAGAGCAAAGAAGAACAGATTGTTGCACAGAAGGCCCCAGACTGAATGAGTGCAGCAGCGATACATACACACACATTGGGCCCGCATGCACAGAAAAGGAAGGAAATACAGAGCGAGGAGAGAGAGAGAGAGAAAGAGACCTCCCCTACTCCCCCCACCAACTCGCATGCACACACATTGGTTGCAAGAAATGCAGGCACCAAAATTATGTACAAACACAAAAAAAAAAAAAAACTTATTTAAAAAAATGCAGAAGCGATAGAAAATAAAGGAAAAGATACAAGCAAATAAATACAATTGACTGTAAAGCTTCCGGCGCCGCCTAGGCAGCCTCTAATGATACCACAATATTGCTAAATATGAGGTGGGGAACGACCCCCTGGCGTGCTGAATTGATCCCCACCATAGCGGTCACTGGCGTAGCGATCACCTCGTCGGTAGGCGTCACTAGGCGTGCGGCGCTCCTGGGGGAAACCGCCAACATTGTTTCGGTAGACCTCTCTGCCAATGTTCGCATACGCCCCCCAATCACGTGGTACAAAGTTGCCACTGTACGAATAATTCGGAGGCCCCGCACCTTGGCTTTCAGCGGCGTATATGGCGGACCCTGCAAACTGTGGTTGGGCGCCCGCCACGGGTGCACGCATCTTGATAAGTTTAATCATAAAAAACGTCCACACCCGAACGGCGGAGTAAAAAAACGAGATGCATGTAATCACAAATGACGTTCCTTGTATGCCGGAGGCAAACTTCACCTTCCAACATATTTTCACCTCAATCACAAACAAAGGAATGTCGGAAAAGAGCAGATTCACCACAATGCCGTAGATCCGGCGCCGTTTTGACACCTCCTCCGGCTCAGGAAAGCGCCATGCCCACATGTAGAAGACAGAAGCTACGAGAAGGTAGAAGACAGCGGCCACAATGCTCATGACAAGATATGCTTGCACAATTGACGCCCCTAACACGGGCACCTGATACATCACCCAGGCACAGTAGTTGGTGATGCAAAATAACGGGTGAATAAAGTGAATAAAGAAAGTTAAACACGTGATGAAGCGGCTTGTGCCACCCATACAATCTATGATGTTCCCGCTGCCCATTTCTGTTTTGGTATTAATTCCCTTTTATTCACCTTCCTTCTGTTCTTCTCTCTCTTTTCTTGTTGTTTTTATGCGTGTGCCGATTTTGGCTTCAACGGTCAATCAGGACACACCACGGCCCCTTCTACAAGCCAGAATTTGTTTTCGCACCCACCAAAAACAGAGTAGAAAGGCTACCGGGAGAAGAGAACCAAAAAAAAAAAGAGACAAAGCAACAGGAAGAATCAAAATTAAAACGGATCCCAAAAAAAAAAAAAGGAAGTCATTATTTGTCACGCACAAAAGTCCTTACTTCCCCCCCCCTCCCCACACACACACATACAAAGAAAGAAAGTGGTTTACGAGATGTGTTTTCTGTTTTCTCTCTCTTGCCGTTTGCTTTCTTCATTGAAGTTATGTTTTTTTCTTTCTCTCAGACACGCCCAGAGGACTGATTCAGCCTGTGCGCAACCAGGGATGCATGGGTTTGCTCAAAGGTTTGCTCCAACTCCGCGACTGGCTCCCTCAGAGATGCTTCTTCATCCTTCAACTCACCTATCCGCTTCCCCAGTCGTTCCAACTGCATGGCCTGGGAATCTATGACCCCGGCGCACGCCGATACTTGTTCATGCAAAACTTTCTTTTGATACCGCAACTGCCGCTCCCGCTTCTCGGCATCGTTCAAAAGCCGTGCAAGCTCTCTTACGCGGGTCTCCAAGAGGCGTACCTCCATCTCCGCCTCACTCTTGCCGTCCTGCCGTCTCATGCTCGATCTATGGGAAAGCGACCTGCTCCGCGTCCGCAGCTGAGATTCACCTTGGTTTTGTTTAGAACTTCTAGAACGGTGAAATTTGAACATCCGATTCTCCCCCGCCTGCGAGAGCGGTGTGCGGTCAAGTGAAATGAGTTTTGGCACGGCGTCAAGGAGCGATGGAACCGCCTCCGGAGCGCTCATCACGGGATTTCCCCGCAGCTCAAGGTAACGGAGTGCGCGCAACTCCCGCAACCTGTAAAGCTCCTCCACCTCGGCGATTTGATTAGAGCTCAGATCAAGGCTGGAGAGGTGCAAAAGAAGGACAAACGGTCGCACAGAGTCTAGCAGGTTGCTCTGGCAGAGCAACGTCGTCAACCCTTTTGGGAGGCCGTTCACATGCTGGCTAGTAATACGGTTGAAGCCCACGTTCAACTCCTGCATCCTCGGCGTAAAGCTTGATAACCCTTGTAACTCCTGCAAAGCGTTGTGCGCCACATTCAGTCGTACGAGTCCCCCAGGAAGGCTCGAGGCCTCAAGCGTCGCAAGGGAGTTGTGGGAGAGATCCAACACCGCCAGCGCGAAAAGCGCCTGACCCCCTGCAAAGCGGGCAATGCTATTATGTGACAGATCCAGTGCGCGGACGGCAATGTAGCGGCCCCGTGACGGCGCCTTCTTCTCCTCTTGGCGGAGCCCATCAGTGGCATCAAGCAACAGCGTCGAGGCATCGAAACTCTGAAGACCCTTGTGGGACAGACACAGATCCATTGCTGGCTCTTACCGTCCTCCGCCCTATCTATGAAATCCCTAGCAAAGAAGCCCGCAAAAAAAAAAGGAAGTAACCAACAACAAGAAAAAAAAAAAATGACACCTACCTTTCCTTCCTCGCTATGTCGCTCCAATGAAGATGACAGGCAAAAACGCATCCATGTTTTTTGTTGTTGTTTTTGCCGTTTCACTTTTAACCGCTGATTACAGCGTGTACGTGGCGTAGTTGGTACTCCCATTGAGGGAAAAACACCGCATAACACACAGAAACACACGCACACAGCTACCCACTTTTCTTCCACACGTTAACGGTGTTACTACCAACGCAGGTAATGAGGGTGCTGGGAGGCAGATTATCTCCCATCGGCGATGGCTCTTCCTTCGTTGCGCACGACACCCCGAAGTAGGCCTCCAGTAACATCACGGCGGAGACAATGCTCCCTGTCAACTGGCCAAGCCGCACCGTTGACACTTCGTCTGGGCTGAGTGCCATAAGAAGCAGCACAAGCATCTGGTGATGCGCATCCACGCAGCCACCTCCAAACACTTGGTCAAGAAGAAGTTCAGCGGTGCGTTTCCCAACAGTCTCCGGAGGTTCCTGTGGTGCGGCGGTTGCCTCCTGTGATATCACGCAATGCTTGCTGGTCGTCTCGGCCACCAAAACGACCCCGTAACCACTCGATGGCTCCCCATGGTGTTGCTTGGAGTTGTCTAAATCCGTCACCACGTAGACGTCAGGAAGAAGATTTAGAAGCACGCCCTTCGCGGCAGTGGCCGCACGTTGGGCGAGATCCGCCGCGACACGAGATCCAAACGAGATCCCTCGAATGCGGCGAACCCGACCTCGTGTTGTGGCATCAATGGAGTTTAACTTCCGCACCGCCTTGCACTGCAGGTCAATGGCCCCGCCCCCGCCTGGGTGTGCTCCGCGACGAATGATTCGCACACTGCACTCTACACCAAAAAGCTGCAACCAGCGCGTCGTCACCGTTCGGAGTGTGTCAACGGAGAGGTCCAACTCACCCTGCGTCGAACCAACCAGCGTCAGCCGTGTGTCCAGCTTCGCGAAGGGAAGGAGGAGGACGGCAACCTCGGCGATGTAGCTCACGCAGCGGCTGGTAGGAACCTCATGCGAAAACGTCCCGCCAAGGATCATGCCCGGGTAAAACGTCAGGGTGGTGTTGTTTTCTGTGCACTCGAACTTAGAACCTGTCGTTACGCGATCGATGAACTTGAGGAAGTTGGCCTCGCATACCTGAATCCCCTCCGGCTCCGCATCGTCGTGAATGCCCAAGATGCGGACCGGCTTGTTGGTGAGCAAACTGCACACAATATGGTGCCGGAAGAGACTGCTGCCTTCAAACTCGAGCATTGTCGCACCCACTTCGCTTGCAGCTGCCAAGAGAAAAGAAAAGGATTTCGGCACTCAACCCGAGAGGAAAAATAAATATACAAAAAGGAAAACGATGCAACCCCACAAAGATTGAAAAAAAAAAAAGAGGGGAGATGTGTCTGTTGTCCATTCAAACGCCCAGATGCCAGGAGCGCACGCCCTCGTTCGTTGTCTTTCATTTTTTTTTTGCCGCTGCTTTCGTCGCGCATCGTCACTTTGTCTCCCCCGGGCAAACATTCCGGTCGCCCCTCATCATCGTAAGCGCCAGAGGACGAAGAGGGAAACACAACAGGGGAAGAAAAAAGGACTCACCACAAAAATCTCCACCAGGCCGCTGTCTTTCCTACTACCTCCTCACCAGCTGCGCTGTCCAACGCCCTGGCAGCAGAGCGCCCGTCGGACCTTTCAAGGAATTCGCGAGGAAGCCGCTCACCGAATTTTTCTTCATCGTACCCCCTAGAAATGCCCTCGTAAAGCTTCCACGGCATGGGAAGAATGTGCGATTTGGCAAGCGTGCACAACTCACCACATTCTACTATCGTAAATTCCTTCTTTGGGGCGTTGCCATGCTTTGAGCCCGCAGCATTAATTCGCTCAATCACATCAAATCCCCCAATAACTAAGGCAAAGATTTGCGGGGCGTAGTCGCCTGCAGAGACATGAATGGCAAAATTTGGGCTTTCCTTGTTGACACCGTACGCAATGGACGACAAGGCCCCTCGCCATGAACCGGTGCCAAGGTGCTCGGTTGGCAAGTAATGTGGATTAAATCCGGTGACGTCGTGCGTCATTTCCCGCCCGTCCCCAAATATCAAACAATGCCGTGGAACAATGGCAGCCAACTGCATACCTCGAAAGGAGTCACCTGTTTCACCGCTCCCTGTACACCGCCTGTGGAAGTACTCACAGTAAAGAGGACAGTTCTCGTTGAGAAGCCCAATGACAACACGACCAATGTCTGCGCCGTTCTCTGCAACGTCAAAGTAAACCACACTGCCAATACGAAGATCCGCCGGCATGTGGGCCACCCCGCGTATCATGCGTTCGCTGGAAAGCTGCGTTCGGTAAAATACGTAAAGGATAATGAGCAACAATACAAAAATTCCCACCCTAATGGCCATCATGACGATGGCGTACTGCCGCGCATGTTCCTCGCACCACGCCATCATTACTAGTTCCAAATCCGTCAAGACACGCTCAGGAGGAGGAACTTCTTCTATTAACGTAAGCGGGAGTCGCTTCACCCGTATTAGCGCATTCCCCTTCTCATCTCGGGTGGTCATTGCGTCACCTGCGGGGTTGCTGCTGCTTCCGCCACCATACCCGACACAAAACAATACCGAAGAGCTGCAAAACAGTAATCGTTGGTGGTGGAAAGGACCAACCCCCATACGCACCCTCGCAACTTCAGTAATGCAAGCAACTCTAACGGGACGCACACCTGCGCACCTCCTCCCAAGAGCAAGCATTTCCCCTAATAAATATGTCTGATGTCTGCGTACGTATCCACGGATAAATAAATAAATAAATAAATAAATATGCTGCCTAAGCCTCTTAAAGCCCAGCTGTCAACGCGCCGTCCAGGCTGGGTGAATAGATACTAAGCACACCACTCAGATAAAATAATATTTTTTGAAAAAATAAAATGGAGAGAGAGAGACAGAGACACTCTCCTTCCAACCTTGTCTAGCTACGATACTACTGTGTCCACAGGAGAACAGACGTAAATGCGACTGTCTCCGCCTTTATGTGCACAGAAGACGCGCCTGGTGAGGGGGCCTTCTCACTTTTTCCTGTAGAATAAAAGAACAAGAAGATCGTAGTTTGTTTCAGTCTACACATCCTTTCACCTCGAAGAAGACCCACACCCACACACACATACACACACTAATAAACCAATTGGTGCACAAAGCAATCTACAAAAACTGAGGCCTCGCCGTGAACCCACAACGTGGCAGCCGTTAAAGGCCCCGCAACCGCCCCTCCCCCTCGCATGACGAGCCGCTTCCACCACGCCACCAGAATTGAAGTCACGACCACACGATGCGCCATCCGCTGGGTTGCTCTACGATCGCACGCAGGTAAAAAAGGTGCATCCACGCCGTGGGCGTCAAGAGGGTGCAATACCACGTCCAATTGCCGCGTCAAGACGCGCCGCCCCTCCTTTAGTGGAGTCACCCTGCAACGCGGCATTGCCCGTACAGACGCCAATGCGTTGAGCCAAACACTCGGCGCACGTCGACAAAGCAGGAGGAGCCGTCCGTGCTTCCACCTGCATGAGAAGAGAGTTGCGGGAGCTCCGCAGCGATGCCCCCCTGCCACCTCGACGCCCTCCACAGCTGAAATAAGCAAAGCATTTCCCAACCGTGCAAATCCACACGCCCGTGACGAGGCAACTCGTCGGGTGCCTGTGACACGCACATGGTGTGAGTCCAGGCGTCCATACACACAAATAAAAGGAGCAAGATAAGGCGCCTCAAACTGCGGTCAGTACAGGGCCCGTAAACACAGCTGCCTTCCTGCAAACCAAAGAATTGGGTCACAGCGTCAGTTAAGCTCAGCCTAGTGTCAGCCATTGAAGCCGTGGCCTCGCGTTAGGTCGCACCATTGGCAGGCGTGCCAGTGCAAAAGATGCTCCAGCCCCCGTCCATGCCTGAGCAATCTAGGAAACAGTGGTCATCCTCAAATAAATAACAAACGTAACAAAGAAACTGCAGTCACCACCTTCCACCGCGGCATCCTTGGAACCATCAAGCACTCAAAAAAAAAAAAAAAAAAACAAGAGGAATACAACAAGACCCTCTCACTCATCTGTTTATCCACACTTGGTCATACATTCCCCACACAACCTTATGAAAACAAAGAAAAAAATACAAATAAGGAGAAAAGTAGCAAAAAAAGGTGTGAAATCAAGGCAAATTCCACGTTTTTTGTACTTGACTATGACATGATAATTTTGATGTTTAGTTTTTTATTTGCCTGTTTTTTTTTGTGTGTTTCCTTCTTTTCTCCTCAGATGGGGCGCACACGAAAGCGGTTACCTCTTTTGAGTGCGTGTGTTTTTCTTTTGTTTTAACGAAGTAAAAAAAAAAAATTTGCGCACTACATTTTTACTTCCAAAAAATGAGGCTCTGCTGCTGAGGGGGGAAAGAGAGGGAGTGCCGTAAACCACTGACAGTCCAACGAGAGACAAAAAAAGAATAAAGTGTGCTGGTTCGCCGGGCCCGTTACCGCCCCCACCCACCCACAGACACACCGCCCAGCTTCGCGGAAAAAGTGTATAGTACACATCTGAGCCGAGTTTCTTCTTCCAATCAGAAAAGAAAGATGAAAGTAAGAAGAAAATGCGTCAGGCACGTAGCTACGTTCTTTTCCCCTTCTTTTTTTTTGTTTTTGCTTTTTTTTTTAAATTCTCTATTCTTTTTTTCTCTTTCAGCCTTTCTTTTTCCCCCTATCTCTTTCATTGTCTCGACTTCTTTTTTGCCCTTCTTAATAATAAAGATATATATATATATTTATGCATGTATAATTTCCTTCCGGTTGCTCCCACCCACCCACCCCACCCTCCTTGTTGCCTGGTTCTTTTTTTGGTGCTGGCTACGTCCCGGCCTTATTCTCCGCCGCCTTCACCGTGTGTTCAGCCCGCACAGAATCAAAGTAAGGGTGCTGCATGGCCTCTAACGCCTGCAAACGCTTCACGTGATCGTACTGGAGCAGGTGATCTAGGAAGTCGAGGGCCTCTGATGAACACAAATGTTGATTCTCTCGGGTTATAAATGTACTCCAGGGCTTTTTGCTATGACGACCCACTGCCGCCTCCAAAAGAGGCGAAAGCTTCAAGTTGTACTTTTGCAAATACGCGAATAACTCATCGGTGCCTAGAACTTTAGCAATGCGAACCAGCTGATCGTTGTTGTCCTTTCCATGGAAAAACGGTTCCTTCATAAAGATCATGCCCGCGAACATACACCCAAGCGACCACATGTCAAGCCTGTAATCGTACATTGGAAGCTCAACTAAGAGCTCTGGACCTTTGAAATAGCGAGAAGCTACACGGGCGTTGTACGTCGTGGCGGGATGGTAAAACTCGGCCAGACCCCAGTCAATGAGAACAAGTCTACGTCGGATATGGTCGATCGTGATGTTGTTTGGTTTGACGTCGCGATGCATGATACCCATGGAATGTGCATATTCCAAGGCCTTGAGAAGCTCAAAAACATAGTAACGGACGTCTTGGTCCGTCAAGATGGGAAAAATGGTTCGGAAGTCAGAGGATGGAACGTACTCAAAGATAAACGAGGGTGTCTTACTGCATGGATCGCGTACCACGTCAAACAACTCCACAATGTTGGATCCACCCTGAAGATTTTGAAGAATCTTAAGCTCCCGCAGTATCTTCTTCTTCTTCACAGGCTTGAGCACTTTTATAACCACCTGCCGATGGAATTTGGTGTCCCACCCTAGAAAGACATCGCTGTACTTCCCTCTGCCAATCTTTTCAACTATCTCATAGCGCTCGGGCGAACTCCATTGAATTCGCGCAGACTCGTAATCCCAGTAGTCTCGCGGCTTATCTACATTCACACGCGCGTACCGGTGCATACCTTCTGGATTGGCCTCTGATGGTGCAGACATCATCGGCAATTATCACTTTTTTTTAGTCGTTTTGAAGAGGAACATGACGTTGTTTTTCCGTTTTTTTTGTTTTTGTTTTTTTTTAAGGAAAAGAAAAAGGAGGAGATACAGCATTACATGAGAAGTGTAACAAAAATAGTAATAATAATAACAAGCGGTGGGGTCGTAAGGAATCACTCCATCCGACGCATTTGCGTGTGGCACAAAGGCAAAAGGAGCAAACAACAACAACAACGTGCAAAGTAAATTCAACAGTAATTTGTATACGAAACCACAAACTTGTCTGCAAGAAAACAAAGAAAACGGATCCCACATTATATATATTGTATGATGCATATGCATTCGTAGTCCTCTTTTATATTCCGTGGGAAGGAACAAAAGAAAGAAAAGAATGCTAGTTATACCGTTAATTAAGTATGACAACCTTGCCCTCCTTATTTGCGGAACGCTTCAGCAAGGGAGCGTGTTCAAGGCCCAAGAATGCCATCTTGAGCGGATACTTCTGGTTGGGCTGGTAGTACGACTCAAGGCAAAATGCAAATAACTGCTTTCCTAATGGGCAATTAGGTTGGACTTCCACAACGTAATTCTCCCGTACTAACGCCATTTTCCAATCCATCACGGCTGCTTCAGAAAGCCCTAGTTTATACGCAATACGTCGCAAAAGATCAGGAGCTAATTCTGCATGGTCAATGTAAATGCTAAACGGATCTCCGTGAGTTTGAACAGAAGTTGAACGCTGGCGATCCATGGTAAAATGGTGTACATGAATGAGCGATTGATTTTGTGGGGGAATACCCTCGATCAGCCTCGGTATTTGCTCAATACGATACTCCGCGCTCTCTTCAAAGGTTGAACGCTCAAATGTATATGGATGATGCTTGTCAAATAAATTGAAGATTCTTCCCTGCCAAACATCTACGAGCCGGAGCTCTTGCCACGCGTCATGAGGGTCCAGATTCCTGTAAAACTGTATATCGGCGTCAAGCCCATCTTTCAGTTGCCCTTCTTTTTCCCTCTCCTTTTTCGTCAAAATTGGATTTGTTTGAAACGAAGCAATAAAACTAGAGTTCGCTGCCTGAATCTCCTTAACACACGTAGTGAAAAGTTCTTTCGGTGTGATAGAAATTCCCAGTGGAAGTAACACCCAGTGCTGACTAATGGGCTTCACGCGCTCATTAAACAACTTGAATTGAAGCGAATGTGCTGCCTCTATCTCCGTCACTGTAAACTTGCAGTACTCATAATAAAGGTATCGCGTAAACCCGTTTTGTCGTGCAACCGGAGGTGATAGCAACTTTGCAAGGGTTGGACGTTCCGTTCTTCTACCCTTCATAAAATAAGGCAGCATCGTCGTAGGGTTGTGCATTGTAAAACGAATACGATCATAATTGCGTGGATCACAAATAAGATGCGCTACATATCGCTGAAGTTGTTCATATGTCATGCTTTCTGCTAGCTGGGTGTCAATCAGTGTCGGATACGACGGCGGGAGATTCAACTTAATCTCCACAGGAACTCTACGTAGAAGAAACTGCTGAAAACTCACAATGTCAGGATAAAAAATATCTTTTTTGTCCTCTACAGCAATTGGTTCTTGCCACACCAAAATGTCTCCAGAGATCAAAACCTTTGAGCATTTAGAATAGGTGTTGGAGTCGTACTTGCACAAGACAGATAATCCCTCTTTTTCCTTCTCAGCAACGTTCCCAGAATTGAGTGTGAATGCACCTAACGGTGTCTCAAGCAAAGGCACAACCAATGCCTCGGCGTCATCTACACATCTTCGGCCTCCTTCACTCAAATGATGATTGGGTTTTATATTTTTATCAGGGGGGATGTTTGCTATACGTTTCCGAATAAATGGTTCCATGAGCTGAATAGCCTCCTCTGAGGTCACTGGTCTCTTGTGTGCCAGAACTGTACTTCCCAAGAAGACAACCTTCAATTGCAGGGGAATGTACAGTTTATGATGAAACAGCTCGTACTTCACCGTGTCATCCCTCTCATCCTCGTCAACCATAACATAATTGGCATTGGAGGGGGTTACAACAAAAACGCAGCTTTCCTTTCCACCACACAAAACATCTGCTACCGTCAAACCTTGAATAACTTGCTTATGTAAACGAACACAACCATTTTCCTCTCGCGCTGAAGAATACCACAGTAATTGTTCAGAACTAGGAATGTCCAGATGTTTTTCAACGAACGATTGGAACACAGGTAGAGCCTCAGTACTTAATAAAACCCTAAACGTAATACTTGATGGAAACTCTTTACCTTGCGGTCGACGACACCATAGAAACCCATGCTCCTCCTCAATATCATGTGGTTGTATAAAATAAATCCTTCCGTAAAGGTGATCTTCAGCCTGCTCCTTCAAAAGTCGTTCATATTCGCTTTGCTCCCATTCCAATTGTCGCACCACATGCCACGGAACATCTTCTGCTGCAATAGGTCGTAACAAATGTCTCATTTCAGAGGTTCGTATGTAAATCAACATATAGGCGTTGGTTGTATTTGGAACTTCGGAACCCCAATAATTGAGTTTAAATCCACCAAAATTTGCCCCAAAAACTTCTCGAAGAGAAGCTAGTGAAACCTCTTCATCATTAAATCTATACCATGCGTCTAAACACCTTAAGAAACAGAAATAATGACCAAATCCGGCGTCCGATCCAGAGTGAACTAAAACGCTGCAAAGTGTATAATTTGTATCCTCCGCTGATGCATGGGGCATATATCTCGATAAATCCAAGTTGTTATAGTAATCCCAACGACTCAAGACTTTGGTTTCTCCTCTTTCTACATCGTAATCAAATCTTGCCAAATGCAGAAGCAAAATAGGTGGGGTACGCTTTAAACGCACCCCTTTTTCTGCTCGATGGTAAGACTTTGTCCCATTATTTTCCAAGCAATATTTGTTTTTCCCATCCAGTACCTCAACCTGAAACAATCTCTCAAAGCTTGTGTAGATATCAGTTGTGTCTTTGACGACTAGCGGAATATCGTAAAATAATTCCTCCCTCAATCCATGATAACCCACCTCATCGACGCAGACAAAGTTCTCCATAACTCCAACAAATAATCGACTAATGGCATTCTTCTTTGTAGTAGATGACGAATCCCCCTCGTGAGGTTGTTGAACCTGATTCAATTTGCCTTCCAAGTTATCTAATAGCTTGTACGTCATCTCGTGAACATCGTGTTGAATAAAGCCATCGGTAGAACTCCATCCAAAAGATTCAGTCAGTTCTGTGGTGTCAACTGCTTCATTTCCTCTTTGAAGAAGACAAAATAATCTCTGAAGGGCATATGGAATAGATTTTTTCCGTTTGATACTCATATCATTTTTTCCTTCTCCTTCCTCGCCAGTTGGCATTTGATAAATAGTCCATCGAAACTCCGAGATATGAAATAATGCTTGCAAAAGAGAATTCAAATAACATGTCGCTCCCTGGTTTAAGAGCCCATTGTACTTGGTCCTTGACTTACCACCCCCACTATTTAAAAACATCTTTCGTTTAGGGACGGGAATAAATCCATCAGATTTCTCTGTCGTAAACGCTTCACTGTTGACAAAAGAATAACCAAGAAGGTGTGCATTATACAAAGAAGGACTCCAATGATGTGCACTCAAATGATGATGGAGCATGTACTTGTCGACGATTGACCCGGATCCATGAATTGCCGTCAAGCTTTGCAACGCTCGAAGAAACGCCGGATAAAGGGAACTGTGGATGCCGCATTCCTCAAATATGGCAATACGCTCTTTACCTGTCATTGTTGCCAAATCGGCCAATGAAGTTTGGCATTTCTCCAAATCAGCGTCGGGGGGCAATAAATCCCGATCAAATAAGTGGTCACTCCAAAAAACGTGTCGAACAATGCCAAGCACATTCAGCATTTTTACTGTACAAAAAAAAGCATTAAAAAAAGGGGCATAAAAAAGCATATATATATATACACTCTTATTATTATTATGGTCAATTTGAAACTACAAAAATCATTTTAAAAGAGTTTAATAAAACATATATAATATGTACATCACTTCTCAAAGTGCACAGACAAGGGCAACGAAAAATGTTTTTGAAAGTGGAACTCTAGCACAAACATTACATATCCGAGAATTTCTGAATGACAATAAGCGTAAAATCCTTGTCTGGGGCCACCATAATTTCATTTTTTTTGCTCCTTATACGTAGGAAGGAAAGATCGTTCGTCGGGTCCAAGTCTCTCACGCAATGGCGAGCTTTTGCAGCTAATGCCGTGATCAGATGTGCATACTTGTTCTGAGTTACAGTATCTTCAATTGTGCTTCTGATGGGAACACCCTCATTACTCACCACAATTATACCAGTCACATTCGGTCGCTGGCTAATACGCTGAAAGGTTTCCTCGATCTCGGACATCCGTACCAACCTGAAACTTTGTTATTGTTGTTGATTGCGTTTTTTTTTTGTGCAGTTCACCTAGGGAAAGTGTAAAAATACTTTTGAAAGGACGTTACATACCACACGGGAGAAGTGTCGAAAGCAGAACTATATATATGTATATATATATATATATATTGAAGATCCAAAGTAACTCTTCCACGTCAAAATAACTATAATAAATGTGACAATCATCGGATGGGTTCCGCTCGAAAACAAAATACAAAATAATAATAAAAGAATGAATCTAAAATACTCCCGACCATGTTCACATAAACCGTCGCCATTGTAACAAAAAAAAAAACCGTAACCCCCACGGATGTTCACTTGCAATCCGAAACGTTTTAAAGGCCCCTGTCTCGTCTTCCGGAAATAATAAATAAATAGGAGCAGGTAAGTTTATTTTAACATAAGGTTTTGCCCCATCAAGGTTTTTTTTTCCTCAGCCGTACGAAGACTCACAAGAATGATAAAGCCACACGTGCAGATATACAACAACCACACTTTTTTTTGCCATAAAAAAAAGAAAAAAAGGGAAAAAATATATTTATTCTGCCCTTCTCATTAAAGGGAATACATCATCACTCATCACCATTCTTATCAAATAAGTTCAAAGAAACAAATACATATTCAGTCCTGTTTTCTGTGAGTCTCCTTTGCCAATTTCCCACGACAAATCACCTTTACAATGGCAAAAATAACCATAGCAACCACTCCACTAATGGCAAACAAAACGTCCAAATCGTGTTGCTCAATAAAAGGTAGCTGTGTGAACCGGCAGAAAAAATCCTCATTATCAATACCCAGAGAAACCACTAATTCAACCACGTCAGCCGCCCTTCTAGATCCTCCCATTACATATCCCATTCGCCTAATTTTCGTGAGGTTGCTAAATATATCCAGGTTGTCTTTAATTTGCATAACCTCATTGATAAAATAAGCGGGATGTAAAGCACCTTTATCTAATACCACCCCTAGCCCAGCATTTCTTGCCCTCACACAAATGTCCATTCGATCGGGGGAAAATCCCAATCCCAATATTGGAACACCACTCTTTACGGCCTCATAAACAGAAGTACCTCCACAATGCGTTAAAAATGCCTTTGTGTTTTTATGTTTCAAAATAGAGCGTTGTGAAACTAAATATGACGAAAATATTCTAAAACGTGTCTCATTATTTTTGTCCCTCAATGATGCATGCATATCATCAGGAAGTTCCCACAAAACACACATTAACGTATTCTTGGTAAATATCTCGACAGATTCATATAAAGCCCTTGTCCATTCACTGGGAAAACGCGAAATGTATCCCAAGCTTATATAAAGAATACCATCTGTACATCCGTTCATCCACGCCATCCAAATGCTATTAATAGATTCCGTCTCTCTACTACGTGGACTCAGGAAACCAACTGAGTGAACATTGGGACAAAATGGTTGGGCGACATCCAAGCCAAAAACAAAAGGTGCAATGATATGCCGTCTATACAAGAGAGTCTCAAAGGACTCATAAGAACCGTCCATTTTTGTATTTTGCATCTTTGCAATCCAGTAGTTTAATCGCTGAACAAAGTAATTTTTTAGTCTCTGCATTCCACTCATGCGGACACTCAGTCCACTTCCAGGTGAAGGAAATGACGGGTTCATCTGAACTGGCCACTGCGGTGATGACCAAAGAAAAATGCTGGGGATGTGCAAACTCCTAGCAAGAGTATCCACGCCCCATGTTTCAATGTCCACTATAAGACCATCAGGCAGTGAATGCGCCTTTTTTAGAGCCGTTTTTAGGCCTAAAGCAAAAAAAATGTTGAAGTTCCTTCTCGTGTGCTCATTTGAAACAAAAATGCGTAAATCCGAAAGCATTCCTGCTCCATACTTTTCCTTTGTGTAAGATTGATTGTATTCACCAATCGAAACACACTCAACTCCCATAATTCTGAGACATTCCTTCATAAAAGACTCAGGGACATAAACAGACACCTTATGGCCACGCAAACACAATTCCTCCGTAATGCCCGACATCATAGTGAAACGGTCTCTTTCAGGAAATGGGACCACTCCAAATTCTAGACCATCAATCCCTAAAAATACAAGCTCCATTGGCGCAAGCAATACAAAAACAAACACAACCCCAACACATAATTTCATTCTTTCCTTATCCTACAAAAACAAAAGATACAACTGCAAAATAGAAGGTATAAAAGACACAGTATTTTTATCCAAAAAAAAGGTAAAACAAGATAATAAAGACAGAAGCAAATATGAATTCAATATGTAATTAGTAAGAGAAATTTTAAAAGCCCTTCGCGGGACATTTTCAAATCGAAAAAAAAACCCCTCAACCATGAGCAAAAAAAATAAAACTATTATATGTCTCCTAATTACATTTGAATCGCGGTATTCAATCAAAACTATTATTATTATTGTTATTATTTATTTATTTATTTATTATCGCCATTATTACCGCCACAATCATCATTATCTATCCTTGTGTAAAAAACTTGTATGCGTTTCTTGCACTTCATTAACAGTTTGTTGACCTTTTCTAAATTGTTTTTCCCCGCCGCCTTTTGCTGACGCTATATAGAAAACAACACCATCTAACTGCTAGCTCTCCAATGAAAAGGGGAAAAAAGGCGTCATAGTACACACACAGCACAAGAACCCCTACTACTACATAAAAAAAAAAACGACGCCTTTGCCACAGTATGCTGCCCAGCTGGAAGAGCAAACATCGGCCCCCACAGCTAAAAGCAAAAGCATGAGACTCAATAATGCCGGTACCCCAACCCGCCCCCAACATACGCAAGCACGCCAGCCAAACCCCGCTCGAACCGAACGAGGACGCACCCAACGCACACCAAAAAACAATCGGCTGCTCGTCGGTCGCCCAACCAATTGTATGCATCCCCCATCGCCAGGCGGCCGCCCTCCGTTGTGGAGGGCCGCCCAGCCGGCAAGCCCGAAGACTTTCCATGCGCAGCACCCCTTTTCCCGCCGGCGCCTCACCCACTGGCGGGAGCCAAGGTTATCCAGACTGAGGAGGCGCAAACCGCATTCACAGGCGCGCCACGGCAACCGGCAGAAAACTTAGCGCCACCCCTACTAATTTGCTGCGCCCCGCCGCCCAGGTGCCAAGCGGACGGCGCGCAACGACGAAAGGCTCCCGCCATGCAACGACTACCATCGAAAAAGCTTTTCGACGCGGAGACCATCACCAATGCAAAGACACATTGTTGCGCGGCCAAGGGGTCCGGGCAACCAAGGAGCGAACGAGACAGCGTTCGTTGCGGGCCATCCGCCTCGTTCGCGGAGGCCCGCCAACACTGCAGCTGCAACGTTCGCCGCCTTGTGCTACTGTTTCGATTTCCCTTACCGTCCAGAGTGTGTACTCAGTGCGTTCTGTGTTGTGCGGGGCTTGTGTTTGAACGGAAGACCACATCACAGAAGCCGCATTTCGGCCCAGAAAGGGGCGGAGGGTATTACGGGCAAAGAGGCCGACGACAATGCACGGTAAGGTTTTTGCAACCCACCCACACGGCATCACAGTACGGGCATTTCTCCTTTTGACGACTTGTGGACGGCCGTTTTCCCGCGGGAGATGCGGCAGTC